ACGCAGCCGACGAGACGATCGCGCAGGCCATCGAACCCAACGCGGGGGCGCGCTTGCACATCGGCCGTGCTGGGCGAGGGTTGCGCGACGGCATCGCATCTGCAGCGGGGTAGTCTCTCGCCGGCACCCGTTCTCATTCGCGCCGTCGCCATCCACGGAACAGACCATCGCCATCTCACCATCAATCCTCCCCCATGCATTCTCAACGCAACGCTGCAGAGATGCATGAGAGCATCTGCTTGCGTCGGCATAAGGACACCCCTGCTTTCGAGTAGCCAGCGCCCATGCGAGCGCCCGCGGGCGCAAGCAGACGCCCCTGGTCGCGCCCGTCGGGCTCCACCAGCCAGTCTGCTCGAGACGCCTGAAGCGAGGGGGGGCGCGCCCCTAGCACTTGCGGCGCTGCAGGAACCACAGCTTGCACCCTCTGCTGCGGCCGCCCCCCCCCTCCCCCTCTTGTCTCTCCTCCTTCTCTCGTGTATCTTCAACGTCTCTCTAAAGCCTACCCAGTGCCCCCCTCCCCCCCGTGCTTGTCACATGTCTACACGTTGGATGGCAATTCAATGTTGGCTGGATGGTGGCTGGGCGTTGACTGAGCGTTGGCTGGGCGTTGGCTGATACTGGCTGAGGTTCGCTGGATGTTAGCTGGGTGGTAGCTGGGCGCTGGCTGGTGTTAGCTGGCGCTGTCAGATGTTAACTGGGCGTTAGCTGGCAATGGCAGACGTCGGCCAACGCCAGCTAACACCCAGCTATCACCCAGCTAGCAACAGCTAGCATCTGACAACATGGTAGCTGGTGTTAGCTGGATGTAGGAGGAGGAGGAGGAGGAAGAGGAGGAGGAGGAGGAGGAGGAGGGGGCGCCATCAGGGAGGAGGGAGGGAGGGAGGGAGGACGAGGAGGAGCAGCAGACAATGAGAAGGAGGAGGAGGAGGAGGAGGAGGAGACGGAGGAGGATAATGGGGAAGAGGAAGAGGAGAAGGAGGAGGAGGAGGAGGCGGAGGCGGAGGAGGAGGGGGAGGAGGGAGGGAGGGAGGAAAGGAGGCGGAGGAGTTTTTTTTAACCCGCGTGCTAACGCCCGTGAGTGGGTGCCCCTGGTCTCGGCACCCCGCGCAGGCACAAAGCACCCGAGGAGGGGTGGGCCAGCGGCCTCATCGCACGGCGTCCTTGCTGCCACCACTCGAAGACTCCTCGAGTCGCCCCGCGAACGGCGGCAGTCAGAAGAAATGCTGCCGCCGCCCTCTCAGAGCTTGAGGAGCAGCCTGATGGACGGCCGCTGCCGCTCCTCTGCTCTGCGCTCTTCCAGGGGCCGCTCTGGCCGCTGATCCCTGGACCCATGGGCCTTCACGGCCTCCATGCCTGGCGCGGGGCTGTGGCCCAAGAGGAGGAGGAGGAGGAGGAGGAGGAGGAGGAGGAGGAGGAGGAGGAGGAGGAGGAGGAAGGAGAGCGTTATGCGATCCACCGGGGCAGCGGCGACGCACACCAAAGCACCGCAAGAGGACGTGCGCAGAGGCCTCCGCGCCGCCCCGCCCCCTGCTCGAGTCCAGCTCGGCCGCGGCCCGCGCGCTCTCGCGGGAGCCTCGAAAAAGACCGCGCTGGGCCCCCGGCAGCGCTTCCGGCGGCGCCCCTGGCGCGCTCCGTGCGCCAGGGAGGGGATTCCAGCGCAGATCAAAGAACTCCGCGCGAAGCGCCAAAAGGTTATGTTTTGGTGTTTTTTTTTCTTCCTCCAGATCAGGGCGCGAACAAAACCGTGTTTTCCACTTCTGCCTGGTTTCGTTTCGCATCGCCCTGTCTTCGTGCGGGCAGTACTTATATCCAAATACAGAGCGTCTTGGACTTTTCGGGAAGAGGTGCCGCAAAGCCGAGGCGCACTGGATAGGGATAGAATCAAGCCTCTTAGGTGCAAGATGTTTATCCATATCCAGTGCGCCTACGGCTTCTAGGGAAGAGAGCCCAAGACTCCAAGACGCACTGGATTTGGATGTAGACATGGCCCGCATGTCTTCGCTCCGCCCCTGCCGCAAGGCAAGAGCAGAGCGAGGACGGCCCACGAAGCGGGCAGAACGCCCTGGAGCTCGGGCCCTGGCCCGGGTGCTCGGAGGAGGAGCAGCAGGCGCCGCCCCCGAGCACCACTCGCGCGAGGGAGGGGGGCCCCCGCCCTCCGATGGGTTCTCGGTGGCGGTGGGCTCCGCGTCTCCTCCGGGACGATGTTCCGCACTTCTCCCGGGAGGCAAGAGGTGCAGTCGGGGCGGTGACCTCAGTCGGCGGTGGACAAGCCTCCCTTTAGTAGACCTCCCCGAAGTGAAGACGGCCTGGGGCCGGAATCGACGGACCTGGACCCGCAAAAACGACGGCCGCGACGCCCTCTCGCGAACCGAAAACGGCCAATTCCTTAATCGACGTGTCAAGGTAGGAGGTCTATCCACCTCCGACTAAGGAACCCTAAATAAAGAACGAGGCCCCTTGCTTCCGTAAGTTAAATTTCGTTTTCCCATCGAAGAACTTAAGGACAACATCAGGCAAGCTGTGACACAACTAAGGCACACCGAGTCCCTCCCCAACGAAAAGGGTTCCTTTATCGGTGCCCCTACTGCAGAGGAAAAGAAAACGGTGACAAAAACGGCACCACCTTTCAGAACTCCGCGCGGATTCATTGGATCGGCGCTGGCCCACCCTCCCTGACGCGCGGAGCGCGCCAGTGGCGGCGCCGGAGGCACCGCCAGGGGGGGCCAAGCGGCCAAGCGCCGATCCAAGAGACCCGCACAGCAAAAGGATTGTGTTCATATGCCGCTTTCCCTGCAGGAACAGGAGGCGAGCGGGGGGAAATCGGGAACCAGAGCATTGCTGATACCGCTACTCGGTGGACTTCTCCTGGGGCACGTTCTGACCAGAACTTCGAGGAAGCCGGCTTTGGTGACGAGAACTCTCCGGGGCGAGCAGCGGCATCGACATGAGCTCCTTCTCTGAGGGCAGCTGCAGGGTAACAAACCATGACATAAACATCAAAGCTCTGCGGTCCACGCTGGAGTCCACTCCCTGGCGTTGCTGCCTCTCTCTCTGGAAGCAGAACAATCTAGGGTAGCAGGCAACAAAAAAAACTCGGAGGTCCGCGCTGATTGATCGGATCGGCAGGCTCGCTCGCCAACTGGCCGCGGGAAGGGGGGGGGGGGACGGTGGCGACAGCGCACGTCGCCGTCGCCACGGCCACCGACGCCGCCGCGGCCGCGCAGCCTGGGGGGGAGGGCGGACCGAGGACGGACGGCAACGGGAAAGGAAGAGCGGAAGCAGGAGGAAGCGAGGGAGGAGGGGAGGGTATTTATCAGAGCGAGGGGGCCGAACGGTCATTCACTGTTCCTGCATGGCTGAAATGGGATTCCACGGACCGGATCGTTCTTGTTGTTGTTGTTGTTGTTGTTGGTGTTGTTGTTGTTGTTGTCGCTGTTGTTGTCGTTGTTGCTGCTGTTGTTGTTGGTGGTGTTGGTGTTGGTGTTGGTGTTGGTGTTGGTGTTGCTGCTATTGTTGCTGCTGCTGTTGTTCTTGAATATCACTGCTAGAGAATAACTATTGCTGATCTCTGGAAATGGTTCCGCGCGCTCTCGCCTCGACGGTGGCTACCATTCCTCTGAAAACGAGGCTTCACCTCAAACGCGGGCTTGATTGTAAATGTGTGTCCTTGGAGGTCCGGCTAAAACGACAACTGTTCCCGCTCGATACTTTTAGGTCGGGCCTGTCCCCCTACAGGGGGAGTTTGGACAAAAAATAAAAAATACCAAAGAATATTCCAAAGATACCCCAAAATACTAAAAACATGTAGTCCCCAGACTATGTGTTACTATTTTTGAATATTTTCCCCTGTAGAGGGACAGGCCCGACTTAACGATGCTTCCTCACAATTGACCCCGAGACACCGTGGCCAGAGAGGCCCCCGAGCTCACTCTCGCTCGAGGCGTCCTAGGCCTTAGGAATTCGGTCAAGCTGGCGGAGGCCCAGCCACGACGAGAAAGGCTCCTGCTCGAGACTTCCTCACGATCTGCTCCGAGAGCTCCTGGCCAGGAAGGCCCCCGAACTCAGGAACGGCGCTCTCGCTCGAGACTTCCTGGCGATTCAGTCAAATTGGTGCAGGCCCAACTTCGACGACAAGGGCTCTCGCCCGATACTTCCTCAAGATGTAGAGGCCCTGGCCATGGAGACCCCCGAACTAAAGAGTGGCGCTTTCGCTCGAGACTTTCTCGTAACTCGGGCAAGTTGGTTGAGGCCCAGACACGGCGACAAGGGTTCCCGCTTGATATTTCTCAACATGGAGTCCGCGAGCTCCTGGCCAGGGAGGCCCCAGAACTCTGGAAAAGCTCTCTCGCTCGAGTTCGTTGCACTTCAATCAGTGGTAGACAAGGAAGATGCTCCTCCCGAAAGGGGTTCCGATCGAAGACAAAGTGGGCGGGTATCGAGGGTTGGAATCTACAGAATGCAAGACACGCGTGCCAGTAAGAGCGAACAAAAATACACTTATTGTTGTCGTTGTTGTTGCTGTTGTTGTTGTTGAGCTTAATGTTGTCGTTGTTGTGAATTGTTATTGATTATTGTTTGTTGTGCCTGTCCCACCCGCGACCCAGCCCGCGACGCACCCGCGACCCACCCGTGACCCACCCGCGACCAAGCCCGCGACCGTGCCCGCGACCCACCCCGTAAACCACCCGCGACCCACCCACTTGCTTTGACGAAAAATTCGGCGCCTGCGGCAGGCTCGTGGCATAACTGGTTTAAGAATCGGCACCTGCGGCGGGCTTCTTCAGAGCCTCGCAGGCTGCCGAAGACCCCGCCGTTCCCTCAATCTTGGCCCGCGCTATGCGCCCCCAGCGGCGCCTCCGGCGCCGCCACTGCCGCGCCCCGCGCGCCAGGGAGGGAGGTCCAGCGCAGATCCAAGAAAATCCTCGGGGAGCGTTTTGAAATGTATCTGAGGGGAGGAGCGGAGAGAGAGAGGAGGCGGCGGCAGAGAGAACGAGCATCGCCTCCTCTCCGCAACGGAGCTCAAGCGCGATCTCCGGCCCCTGTGCCCAGTACCGCAAGGTGTCCAGCACACCCTCCAGCAGATCCTCGACCTGCCGGGGAGGACCCCATCCACTTCGTCCGTGCCATCTTCCTTCTACCCATCGTTATCCTCAGCCTCATCATCCTGACCATAATCATCATCACCACCAACCTCAGCCCTCATCATCATCAACATCATCATCATCATCATCAACATCATCATCATCATCACCACCACCACCATCCTCATCATAAGGATCATCAGCATCATCATCAGCAGCATCATCAGCATCAGCATCAACATCAACATCAGCATCATCATCATCATCATCATCATCATCATCATCATCATCAGCATCAGCATCAGCATCACTATCAGCATCAGCATCGTCATCCTCGTCATCGTCATTATCATCGTCATCGTGGTCATCAGTATCACTATCAGCATCAGCATCGTCATCGTCATCACTATCAGCATCAGCATCACTATCATCATCGTCATTGTCGTCATCAGCAGCGGCATCATCATCATCATCATCATCATCATCATCATCATCATCCTCAGCAGCAGCAGCAGCATCACAGCCATCATCCGGATCAGCATCATCATCAGAATCATCATCATCACCATCACAATCACCATCAGCATGATCATCCTCAACATCATCATTATCATCATCAGCGTCATCATCCGCATCATCATCGTCATCGTCATCGTCATCGTCGTCGACGTCATCAGCAGCAGCATCATCATCACCATCGTCATCTTCATCATCATCATCATCATCATCATCATCATCCCAAGCAGCAGCATCAGCATCATCATCAGCATCATCAGCTTCATCAGCATCATGATCATGATCGTAATTGTCAGCATCCGCATCACAATCACCATCAGCATGATCACCAGTATCACCATCAGAAGCGTCATAATCAGCAGCAGCATCGTCAACATGATCACCATCATCAGCCTCATCGCCAACAGAAGCATCACAATCTGCAGCATCATCATCACCACCAGCATCACTATCGTCGTCCGCACCATCCCCTTCACAATCATCATGATCATCAGTCTCGTCACGAACATCAACACTAGCACCATCATCAGCAGCACCATCCTCCTCGCCAACACAAGCATCCTCATCCTCATCCTCATCAGCATCGTCATCATCATCACCATCATCACCAGCAGCATCATCCGCATCCGTATCATCACCATCAACATGATCAGTGTCGCCCGCATCATGGTCAGCATCATCCTCATGAGCAGCAGCACGGCCGTCGTCATCATCATCATCATCATGAGCAGCATCACCATCGTCATCATCAGCAGCATCATCATCGTCATCACCACCATCTTCGTCAGCGTCGTCGTCGGCATCGCCGTCGTCGCCATTATCATCATCACCAGCAGCATCTCACCAGCGCGAGCACCTGCATCAACACAAACATCGCCATCGACCTCATAGTCAAAAGCAACAGCATCATCCTCATCAACATCCCCATCATCATCACCACCATCACCTTCATCCGCATCACCATCATCACCTGCAGCAACATCACCACCAACCATCAATCACCAACCGTCGATCATCACCAACATCATCAGCATCCGCATCATCATCAACATCATCATCGCCTTCGTCAGCATTACCATCGTCGTCATGATCATCATATGCATCATCGTCATCAGCCTCATGGTGCCGTTGCTGCTGCCTCGGCACATGTCACGATCGTGACAGCAGCGCGGGCCTGGTGAGCCTCGTGGACGGGGGAGGGGCACGCTGGGAGCGCGCCCCTGGAGCAGTCCCCACAGGCAAGGGTGCGACGTCGTCGCTGCGTCTGGAACCACATCGTCCTCCTCCTCCGCCTCCGCTCCCCCTCCTCATCCTGCTCCTTTTCCTCCTCCTCCCCCTCCTCCTCCTCCTCCTGTTCCTCCTGCTCCTCCTCCTGCTCCGTCTCCTCTTCATCATCCTTCTCCTCCTCCCCCTCTTCCTATTTCTCCTCCTCCTCCTCCTTCTCCTCCGCCTCCTCCCCCTGATCATGCTCCTCCTCCTCCTCCTTTTCTTCCTCCTCGTCCTCCTCCTCCTCTTCCTCCTCCTCCTCCTCATCCTCCTCCTCCTCCTCCTCCTCCTCCTCCTCCTCCTCCTCCCCCCGAGGGTGGGGCCTGGCACCTGTTCTCATGGTGTCAGCGCGACACAGTCTTCGGGGCACACTCTCAGTGTCAATTGCATACGGCGGTTGGGGGCAAATAAACTGGCTTTCGTCGTTCTTGCACCGGCCACGTGGCACTTTACCCGTGGCAGCAGCGCGTTAGCTGCGCCCGTGACCTGGAGATGGGTACCAGGCACGGGGAGTGTGCATTTGGTTGAAAGGCGGGGCCAAGCGGTCCGTAAGTCCCTTGGGACCTTGTGCCCGCTCACCCAAGGGTACACACCCAGTTGCACATGCCATCCGATTCGGCAGGGGTGACGGTCGGGAAGTACTGCGCGGTGACGCGGTGAACCGGCTGTCTCCCTACGCACCACGCCGTCTCGGTTGGGCAGCGAGTCGCTGAGCGACGAGGTATCTGCATTTCCCCTGACCGTCGATGCTGGCGCTTGCGGGCCCCTTCCTCCTGCTCGGGAGGCCGAGGGTGACGGTTGAGCCTCGTTCGCCGTCCACTACTTGGATCTACGACACTCATGACACTCCTCCTCCTCCTCCTCCTCCTCCTCCTCCTCCTCCTCCTCCTCCTCCTCCTCCTCTCCTCCTCCTCCTCCTCCTCCTCCTCCTCCTCCTCCTCCTCCTCCTCCTCCTCCTCCTCCTCCTCCTCCTCCTCCTCCTCCTCCTCGCGCGCGCGGAAGCGCGCGCAGGGGGAGGGGGAAGAGGGAGGAGGGGGAAGGGGGAAGGGGAAGAAGGAGGGAGGGAGCCAGGGAGGGAGGAGGACGACGATCCTCCCGAGTCGTCGGCGCCCCACGGAGGGAGGGGGGAGCAGGGGAGGGAGGGAAGGAGGGAGGAGGGGGGCTGCGCCCAAGTGGCCCCAGAGCCCGCATCTGTGAGGCTGTCAGGAGAAAGAGGAGGCGAATGACAAGGGGGAGGCGAATGACAAGGGGGAGGCGGATGACAAGGAAGAGGGAGGGAGGGAGGCGAACGACAAGGGGGAGGCGAAGGACGACGACACCGCCGCCTCAGCCGATCGCCACCGCCGCCAACGCCCGACGCCGCCGCCGCCGCCGCCGCCGACGACGACGGCTCGCGGACGACGCCTCGCCGACGACGGCGACCCCCGACCTGAGTTGTTCAATGCTCAGCCCCAGAGGCCCCGACCCCTTCCGCGGAGCCAAGCCTTCCGCGGATGGTCCCGGGACCCCAATCACAGGCTCCAGAAGGCGAAATCGAGGAAAGCGCCAGGATCAAAAAACAATGGTCGCCGGAGATCTGGGACGACGCCGACGCCGACGCCGACGCCGACGCCGACGCCGACGCCGACGCCGACGCCGACGCCGACGCCGACGCCCACGCCGACGCCGACGACGACGCCGACGACGACGCCGACGCCGACGCCGACGCCGACGCCGACGCCGACGCCGACGCCGACGCCGACGCCGACGCCGACGCCGACGCGACGACGACGACGACGACGACGACGACGACGACGACGACGACGACGACGACGACGACGACGACGACGACGACGACGACGGGGGGACCAAATGTCGGCGGTGGACAACCTCCCTTTAGTGGACCTCCCTGTAGTAAAAACGGCCTGGGACCGAAACCGACGGACCTGGACCCGCAAAAAAAGACGGCCGCGACGCCCTTTCGCGAACCGAAAACGGCAAGTTCCTGAATCGAAGTGTCAGGGTGGGAGGTCTGTCCACCCCCGAAAACAATACCAACACCGCCACTCCCCGGACCTCTCCCAGGGTGCGCGCTGACCAAAGTTCAGAGCGAGTCGGGCCACGGCGACGGGGGCCTCCCAGGGGGCTCCCAAAACGGCCGAAACGAGTCGAGGGCAGCAGCGGTGTGTCGGCACCACTCCCTGGCGTCGCCCCTGCAAGAGGACGGCGCCAGGGGTGCGGGCTTTCTGAGAAGGCGGAGAAGTCTCGTGGACAAGCCCCACCCGAAGTTGCTGGGCCTGCCAATCTCCAGTGGGGGGACGTCCTGGAGCATCGGTGCATCACCATGGAACCCGTACACCCCCCCGCCCGAAACGTGGGGGGGGTCTGGGACCTTCGGGTTGGGCTGCGGTGGTCTTGTGAGTGGTGGCGGGCGGGCTCCCGAGAGGCCACCCCCGCCTGCGCGGAGGCCCCCCGCAGTCTCCAGAAGCTCACGCCCCTCGCGCCGCTGTCTTGCTGGGACACTGGCGATGCCATGATGATGCTGCCGGGGATACGTCCCAAGATTTATGGGGTATCTAGCCGCCGTCGTTTCCCGCACCCGCGCGACGCAGTCGGGAATCTTGAAGTCTGGACAATCTTGGAACGTATCTTGATTATGACTTCTTGCTCCTCTGAGTTGGAGGCGCCGCCAGTGCTCCTCCTCGGAACGCCTCGGGGCAGGGCGAGCTGAAAAAAACAGATCAAGACCGATCCCAGAGGCCAGCTGCCGCTGTCTGTCCCTCTTCTGACAGTGGCCCCTGACTTCTGACCGACAGTGCACCTCCTCTCTGCCCCTGCCCTGCCAAATGTCCCCCTCCTCCGACAGTGTCCCTCCTCTGACGGTGTCCCTGCTCTGACATGTCTCCTCCGCCGAGCCCGCGACTCGTCTCCTCTGACAACGTCCCCTCCTCTGGACGACGGCGCCCACGGCCAGGCCGACGCGCGGAGACGCCCCCGCCGCCATCGCCGCCGACGACGACGACGACTTTTCGTCGGCTTATGAGGCCATAGTGTGATAAGGATTGCGACGACCACGACGACCACGACCACGACCACGACCACGACCACAACCACGACCACGACCACGACCACGACCACGACCACGACGACGACGACGACGACGACGACGACGACGACGACGAGGCCGCCGCGCGCGCGCGCCTCCACCGTCGCCGAGCCGCTCGGGCGCGGCTCGCCCAGGCCCCCGAGGCTCTCCTGCAGCACCTGGCGGGCCCGGCGAGGCCCTCGGGCAGCCCCGGCCGGCAGGCCGCTGCGGCCGCGGCAGAGCCGTCGCCGCCAGCGTCGCTGCTGCCTGTCCGCCTCCTCCCTCCTCCCTCCTCCCTCCCTCCCTAGAGAGCAGGACATCCACCCCCATAAGAAGCACCCCGACAGGCGAAGTCGTTTAGCAAATGCGCCCAAAGAAGGAATCGAGCAGGACAAGGCTGTTTAGGAAACGCCCAGGGCCGTTTAGTAAACGCCAGATGTCCTGTCAGGGTGTTTTTTCCTCCCTTGATCCTCCCTCCTCCCTCGTAGGACGAGAAAATGTCTTGGTAGGGCTGGTTCAAGAGACGCTCCAGGATTCCCAGGATGCCTGCTGGCCCGCGCCTCTGCAGCAGCCCATGTGGAACATTGGGAGATCTTGGAAATCCCAGAGGCCTCCTAGATCGGGTAAGAGTAGATGGGGTCTTAGGATCGCGCTGCGTCGCCAATGCATCGGCGATGCATCGACGATGTCCACGATGCACTGGCAAACGTGGACGTGGAGAACACCAGGCTCCACATCGAGCCGCATCGCCGATGCGTCGGCGATGCGTGCGGCGCGATCCACCGATCCCATCTACTCTGACCCCGTCTGGGCGACGATCAGAAACGGGTCTTACGCGAGATGATACTGCGAACTTGCGACAGGTTCGTATCGTATCGACTTCGTCTTTGGTTCCTGACACCGCGGGGATCGTTCAACCTTGAACGATCGGCCGTTTCCGCAACGTCCAAATCGTTCCACATCGAACGATTCTGGGTCGCGCGCGGCGTTCAAAATTGAACGCCGCTGGCGGGGTCACCGCCGGTCGACACGACACGAACATACCGTTCGCAGTGGCTTACACGGGCCACCAGCGCGACACGCCAGAGGAAACGAGGGCACTCATGCGCGACCTCGTGCGGGCAACCCACGTGCCGACGCTGGTGCAGACGACATTTGTTTTGTCGCGTCGCTCACCTGGGAGGCCCCACAACCACAACGCATGGATACCGCTACTCCCCCAGGCCTCTCTTAGGGTGTGGTCTGACCAGAACCTCGAGGCGAATCCAGCGGTGGCGACGAGGGCCCCCCAGGCGGCCCAGGAGGGCGGAAACGAGGCAAGGGTAGCGATATCGGTACCGTTTCCCCCGCTGACCTCGATCCCCAGACCCCCAACGTCATGATCTGCTCGTACTGTCGACCCCCAGAGGTCTCGACCCATTCCCTGGGACTGGCATCCTGAGTCGTTTTTTGACGGTCCCGAGGGCTGGTAAAGGCCCCCTGAGGCCGAGAATAGTGAAAAAACCTCCCGTCGTGATTCCCGTCTGAGCCTAGCAAGGGATATGTCGACCCCTATCCCAGGCTTCGCGGGGTTTTCGAATGGACCAGAAATTTAGGACCCAGCCCTGGGATATATCATAGGGGGGGTGTCCACCCACAACAGGGGGGGGCGTCCGAGTAGCCCCCTTGGGATGTGTCCCAGGGTTCCATTTTCTCTGATCGACTTCATTTTCGTCGAAATGTCGGGGTTGGAAAGGAAAATCGCCTGCGAGAGCTCAGATCCTCTGAGATCCTTCCGGAGGTTGGAGGAAAAACAAATTACTCCGACGGTAGGACCCCGCATGAGAAGATGTTTAACTTGCCTGGGGATCTCCTCCTGCCCCCTCCTTCTCCAACATACTCCTGCCTCCTCCTCCTTCTCCTCCTGCGTGCTCCTCCTCCTGCCTCAACCCCTGCCTCAACCCCTGCCTCCTCCTCCTCCTCCTCCTCCTCCTCCTCCTCCTCCTCCTCCTCCTCCTCCTCCTCCTCCTCCTCCTCCTCCTCTTGCCTCCTCCACCACCTCCTCCTTTTGCTCCTCCTCCTCGTCCTCTCTCTCTCCCTTCTTCTCCTCCTCCTCCTACTCCTCCTCCTCCTCCTCCTCCTCGTCGCCCTCCTCCTCCTCTTCCTCCCTCCTCCTCTCCTCCTCCTCCTCCTCCTCCTCCTCCTCCTCCCCCTCCTCTCCCTCTCCCTCCTCTGCCTCTCCTCCTCGTCTCCATCTTCCTCCCCTGCTCTTCCTCCTCCTCCTCCTCCTCCTCTCCTTCCTCCTCCTCTCCTCCTCCTCCTCCTGCCTCCTCCTTAGGCCTCCTGCCTCCTCCTGGGGCCTCCTGGAGCCTCTTGGGGCCTCCTGGAGCCTTCCTGGCCTCCCGGGACCTCCTTGCATTCCTCCTCCTCCTCCTCCTCCTCCTCCTCCTCCTCCTCCTCCTCCTCCTCATCATCGTCCTGTTCCCCCTCTGCCTCCTCCTCCTCCTCCTCCTCCTCCTCCTCCTCCTCCTTCTCCTTCTCGTCCTGCATCCTGCTCCTCCTCCTCCTCCTCCTCCTCCTCCTCCTCCTCCTCCTCGTCGTCCGGAACACGACCTAGAGGAAACGCACGACGTGCGTCCCAGCGTCGACGCGCTGGAGGACGACCCAGAGGAAGCGCGCGCCGGAGGACGAACCGGAGAAAGCATGTGAGGTGCGGGCCCCATCAGGAGGGGGCTCCCGCCTGAGACTTCCTCGCGATTCACTCACAGACGAGGCTCCCGCCTTATACGTCCTCCACATTCAAGCCTCAGGAGGCCAAAGGTAACGACGGTTACAGGAGGCCGATGACCCGCCTCGGATTACCAACATGAAGTGCGGGCCCTATAGGGAGGGGGCTCCCGCGTGAGACTTCCTCGCAATTCACTCACAGACGAGGCTCCTGCCTGATACTTCCCCCATTTTCAAACATCGGGAGCCCAAAAGTGACGGTAGTTACAAGTCTGAGGAAGACCCGCTCGGATTAAGAACATGAGCTGCGGGCCCCATCGACAGGGGGCTTCCGCCTGAGACCTCCTCGCAATTCACTCACAGACGAGGCTCCCGCCTGATCGGGCACGCGGGCCCACGACAATAACAAATTTGCCGACGACCTGCTCGGACGAGGCTACCCGCAATTCGCTCACAGGAGAGGCTCCCGCCTCATACTCCCCCAATGTTCAGACCTCAGCGGCCCAAGAGTAAAGACAGTCACAGGGTTTCCATGATCTGCTCGAATTTCTCTCACGAGCTGCGGGCCCCGTAGGAAGCGGGCTCCCACCTGAGACTTCCTCGCAAATCACTCACAGACGAGGCTCCCGCCTGATACCTCCTCCATTTTCGAACATCAAGAGCCCAAAAGTGACGACAGTCACAGGGTTCCGATGACCCGCTCAGATTACCAGCATGAAGTGCGGGCACCACAGAGAGGGGGCTCCCGCCGGACACTTCCTCGCAATTCACTCACAGACGAGGCTCCCGCCTTATACTTCCTCCACGTTCAAGCCTCAAGAGGCCAAACAGTGGCAACAGTTACAGGTTTCCGATGGCCCGCTCGGATTAACAACATGAAGTGCGGGCCCCATAGGGACGGGGCTTCCGCCTGAGACCTCCTCGCAATTCACTCACAGACGAGGCTCCCGCCGCCTGATAGTTCCTCCATTTTCAAACCTCAAGACCCCAAAAGTGACGGCAGTCACAGGGTTCCGATGACCCGCTCGGATTACCAACATGAAGTGCGGGCCCCATAAGGCCTAAGCTTCTCTCTGAGACTTCTTGGCAATTCACTTACAGACGAGGCTCCCACCTGATACTTTCGTGGGTGTGAGTGAGCGGGTGATTGAATGAGTGGGTTAGTGACTGAGGATGATGATGCTGATGGTGATGATGACGAGTGAATGAGTGGGTGGGTAGGTGGGTGACTGAGTGGGCGAGTAAGTGATGATGATGAGTGTGTGAATGAGTGAGTGTGCGAGTGATGACGACGATGGTGATGATAGCGTGCGTGAGTGGGTGGGTGAGTGGGTGAGTGGGTGAGTGTGAGTGATCATGGCGCGTGAGCGATTGAGTGAGTGTGCGAAGGGAAGAGAGAGAGAGAGAGAGGGGGGGAGGAGGAGAGATCCTGCGCGGAGGGTGTGCAGAGAAAACAAGAACCTCACTTTGGACGCTGGGAAAATAACCAAGAATACTCAAAAGTAACTAGTAGAAAGATCGTCCCCAGACTATTTGTTGTTGACTCTTCTTGTATGCTCTCCCTGCAGAGGGACATGCCCGACATAACGCCACTGATTGCGCTCCCCCAGAGGAGAGCGCCCCACACTCGAGACGGCGCCGGCCACTGGCCCTTCGCTGCCTTAAGGGGCAACGATAGGGGGGGACTGGCATAAGGGGGGATGCATCGACCAGGAATCGGCGATACATCGCCGATAGATCGGCGACAGGCCTCCGATCGTGAATCCACGCCTTCCTGGGCAGGTTGGGGCTGTCGGGCCCCTACCGGCGGTCGATAGGCATACGGGGGGGGAGGCGCATCACCCCCTATGCCTTCCCCCCCCTACCCTTAAGTCGGGCCTGTCCCCCCCTACAGGGGGATTTTCGACGCAAAATAAAAATTGCCCCAAAAATGCCCCAAAAAAGGTCAAAACATACTCAAAAAATCATACCCAGACTAGATTTGGGTTATTTTCTGATTGTTTTTAGGATTATTTTTTTTCCGTCGAGAATCCCCCCGTAGGGGGACAGGCCCGACCTGACCCTGCCCGTGCCCCCCCCACACGAGACGGCGCCGGCCACTGGCCCCTCGTCGAGAATCCCCCCGTAGGGGGACTGGCCCGACCTGACCCTGCCCGTGACCCCCCCGCACGAGACGGCGCCGGCCACTGGCCCCTCGTCGAGAATCCCCCCGTAGGGGGACAGGCCCGACCTGACCCTGCCCGTGCCCCCCCCGCACGAGACGGCGCCGGCCACTGGCCCCTCGCTGCCTGCGCGCCCGCCCTGCCAGGCAGGGGGGCGGCCGGGCGGGCAGGGCAGGGCGCCCGCGCGGAGGGCGGCGCCGCCCCGATGTCCTCCCTGCTCCCTCCTCCCTCCTCCCTCCTCCCTCCTCCCTCCTCCCTCCGCCCTCCTCCCTCCTCCCTCCTCCTCCTCCCTCCTCCCTCCTCCCTCCTCCCTCCTCCCTCCTCCCTCCTCCCTCCTCCCTCCTCCCTCCTCCCTCCTCCCTCCGCCCTCCGCCCTTCTCCCTCCTCCCGTCCAGGTCTGTGGCAACTCACGGGAGCCCTCCACAGGAGAAGAAGCCGCGGGCAGACGGGACTGACGCGGTGGGCTCCCATAGAGGGAGACGGAGACTGAGAATCATACGAGTTCGAATCAGAATAGCTTCGAAGAAGAAACAGAAGAAGACGAATCTGCGCTGGACCCCCCTCCCTGGCGCGGGAGCGCGCCAGGGGCGGCGCCGGAGGCGCTGCCGGGGGGGGGGGGCCCTGCCTCGCCCGTCTCAGACATAGTGCCATTCACCGCCCCAACCAATTGTAGAAAACACCCGCCCCAGCCAGATGTGTAAGCACCCGCCTCAGCCGTCTCCACATGCTCCCTTAGAGGGGGGAGCAAAACGGCACAAAACTGTCGGAATTCCGCGCGGGTGTCTTGGATCGGCCCTGGAAACCCCCTCTGACGCGCGGAGCGCACCGGTGGCGGGGCCCAGCGCCGATCCGAGAAATTCGCGCGGAACTCCGAACATTGCCGCGCACCTTTGCAGTCATGTGTAGTTAACACCCGGTTCAGCCAATCGTGACAGCACCCGCCTCAGCCGCCCCCCATGCTCCCTGGTGTCCCTCTTCCTCCTCCTCCTCCTCCTCCTCCTCCTCCTCCCCCTCCTCCTCCTCCTCCTCCTCCTCCCAGTCCTCCTCCTCCTCCTCCTCCTCCTCCTCCTCCTCCTCCTCCTCCTCCTCCACCTCCTTTTGGTCCTCCCCCTCCTTCTCCTACTCTTCCTCCTCCTCCTCCTCCTCCTCCTCCTCCTCCTCCTCCTCCTCCGCCTCCTCCGCCTCCTCCGCCTCCCGCTCCTGCGTGTCCCCCCGCGCAGCAGGCTCGGCCTCCACGATCACGCGGCACCCAGAGGCACGCAGGCAGAAGTCGTCGGGGGCGCGCTTCCTGGCCCCGCCGGCCCGCGCAGGGACCACGAGAGCGGCACTGCCCCGAGGGAAGCCTGGGACGCAGGGCGACAGAACAGCACGGTGCGCTCGGCGGTGGACAAACCTCCCTTAACAGCACGGTGTGCTCGGCAGTGGACAAACCTCCCTTTCGTAAACCTCCCCTTAGTGAAAACGGCCTTAGACCGAAACCGACGGACCCAGACCCGCAGAAACGACGGCCGCGACGCCCTGCCGCGAATCGAGAACGGCCAATTCCTTCATCGACGTGTCAGGGTAGGAGGTCGATCAACCTCCGATGTGCCCTCCTTGGAGGCGTGCGCCCGGCCAGAGCCCGTGGCACAACCCCAGCGGCATGGCCAGAAGACGCCCGCCGCCGAGCACCACGCACGGGCTTTCCGAGAGCGCGCGCCGCGCCCCCCTCGGGGGGCGGCGCGCGCCCGCGCATGGGGCACCGGGCGTGCTCGCGTGGAGCCGCTGGCGGGTCCTGGAGGCAACTCGCGAGCGGCGAACGTAATCCACGCCCTCGAGGCCTGCACTCCGGGGCGCGTTCCCGCGGATGCGCGGGCGCGCGGATGCGCTCCGCGCGGGGCATCTGCGAGGAAGCGCCCCGCATCCGCGGGGTCGCGGCCCAGGGGCCCTCCCCGCGAAGCTGTGGACGCACGTCAAGCTGTTCGCCCCCGAGCGAAGGGGACCCCGCTGGGAGCCGGCCCCGGATGCAGAAGTCGCCCCTGGTTGGGAGGCAGATCCTGTGAGGCCATCGGGAGAGCGACTCAACGATATTAAGCTGAGGGGCAACGACAGGGAGGGACTGGCATAGGGGGGGATGCATCGACCAGGAATCGGCGATCGTGAAGCCGCACCTTCCTGGGCAGGTTGGGGCTATCGGGCCCCTACCAGCCATCAGTGGGCGATTTGGAGTCGATGCGTCCCCCCCTATGCGTATCCCCCCGTATCAGTGCCCCTGATAAGCCACCCTGGAGGGAACTAAGCCGACTTAGCCCTGATCAAGCCCAAGATGAAGCCAGCACCTTCGGCCGGATTGACTGGAAGTAAGCATAATCAAACGGGACTACGCCTTCTGATGCCTATTCTCGACCACAGACATACCAGCGCCGATGCTGAACTTGACCTCCCAGAAATTGAATCCTAACCCTTCGGAGTCCTAAATGCGCCCCCAGTGGCAAATTCAGGTAGTAAAGTCTCGGACTGTGCATAAACAGCCCCTCCGCCCCGGAGGGCCAGGAATTGCATCTAAACGCTTCGGAGTCCGAGATGGGCCCCCGGTGGTAAGGCCTCGGGATGTGCTTAGACAGCCTCCCCAGGCAATGCTGGCCGGCACCAATTGGCCCCCCGAGTAACCCGGAGCAGTCTCAAGACACTAGCCCTTGGGCGCGGAATGCCATGCCCCAGGGGCACCGGCGGACACACCGTGGATGAATCCGTACTCACTCCGTGTCCCATTGTCCCCTGACCACACATCAAGCTACTAGACGACAACCGAATGGAACAACTGTCCTCAAAGGCGGCATCGTTGCACACTGTTTTTGTGTATCTTTGGCGCGTGAGGCTGGACGGGCGCGCGAAAGAGCTCTGGCCACAACAGCAGCTAGCCTGACGGCTTAGGCAAAACTGTTGCCAAAACGGCGCCGCTTGGGCTCCGCGTGTACCTGGCTCGCTGTCCGGGAGCTCGTAGACGAATTATGAATGATGATGGTTCCAAGGCTTTGCCCCCCCCAAAAAAAAACCCTAGGAACCAAGCGGCGGCGGAATGCGCCAGTAAACGGTCCTGCGCGCACATTATATCACACCCATGAACTCCTGTCACGAACTAGCCAGTTGGTCGGGCATCATAGGAAGCCAAGCATCCCCGCACGTTATCTCTCTAGGTGCTCCTGGGAACAGCAGTCAAAAAACGAAGAAGAATCCCCAAACGGGATGATGAACATGAGATCGTAGCAAACTCAAAAACAGCACCACTTCCCCGCTGGGACACTGTGCGCCCTGGCCATCGCCATGTGTTGCTTCACCTTCTTAACGGTCGACCATGGGTCCGGTGTTACGTCGCGTGCTCCTGTGCGCATTATGTTAACCAAAAACCAGGAATCATAGCTTCCGTGAGACATTCAACGGCCACAGCACTCGCGTCGATCCAACGAGTCCGACCAACAAAATACTGCACGACGTGCGAGTTAAACCTCTCATTGTCCTCTTGTCCAGACATCCTGGAGCAAAGTGTATGGGTCAATGCTCAAGCGTTTGTCCTCTGTGTTTCTCATGTTTGGCGCCGTGGAAATGCCCCCCGGGGCTCTTCCTGCAATCCGTCATCCAGAAGTGCGTCATGGTCATGACTGACATCTCCCCCCCACAGGAGGGAGCTTGCATCCTGACCGAGCCATGCCACGCGCGTTAGCGATGGCAGCGCGAACGCGCGCGCGCCTGACAAGCCAGCGCCCCTGCCTGCATGGGTGGATTTACACGCGCGTCTGATAGCATTACTCGGCAGGCATAGAAGGCGAAATTAATCACGCTCCCCCATCGACCCTGGCCCGCGAGTCCGCGCAGCCCGGCTCTCTGAGACCTGGGCGGCTCCAAGCGGCCTTTGACGACGTCGTGCCCAGCCGGCGTCGGCGACTGCAAGAACAACCATGCCGATATCCCATTTAACTGCTCCTCCCTTGCAAGCAACTCCACGGTCCGAGGCCCGCCCCACTCCTTCTACAAATCGGTTACCCTCTTCGAGATGCAACGTTGCATCGTGGTTCGCCGCCGCCTGCATTCGCACGACAAAGTAACTCAGGATTGCACTAACGAGCGACCCGTGGCAACACCTCCAACAGACCTGAATTGCGACGCCCCACCTTCACTGCAGTTCCGGGTAGAAGGGCAATCCCTGGGATAAGATGCAGCATCGATACTATAGATCGTGCTTTTTGCCGCAACGTATACAGCATGATCAACAAATCGAACGTTCGATCTGCTGAAACGACCTGGCGCAATGCTGTTCTCTCTCAACCCATTGGCTATGGAACGTTGGCGGATCTTCCCCCGCGGGCCCCCTCCCGCATCGCGGGCCGTGCCCTCTCGAGTCCTTCGGGAGGTGGCCTGAGCAACGTGAGCCGGTCCAGTTCTTGATCCTGAAAGTGCGCCGATGCGATGTCGGCGCATGCAACGTCCTTTTAGATCATGCAGCCCATGGGAAGATGAACCTCAAGCCGTCCAGCTCGCGCGTCGGCGGTTCCACCCAAATTCCCAGCGACTCCCCGAGATCACCTCGCACTACGAGCCAGCCCTTGCACGGCGGTGCACGAGCGGGCCATCTAATCTGCGGAGATTTGATTCCTCGGCCCTTCGCAACTTGCACCAGTCATCATGCCCCGCGAGTCACAGTCCGCGCTTGACTTCCTCAGATTATCGGTGGCGCGTCGGCTCTTAGCGCCCGCCATTTCTTCCGATGCCGCGTCGTTTGGATGGCGCGCTGAAGAACCCAACGAGAATCCGATGTGACTTGCTCGCTGCAGATGCTGACGCTCTTTGAAGAAATGCCACGCCCCGCCCTGTAGCGCGCGTTCTCTGCCTGGCCACGAGCAGTGGACTCGCCGGCTCGGGCCCCAAATCTGACGCTGAATCAGCCGCTACCTCTCCTGGCGCCCAGTCCAACGACGCTGGTCCTCCAGCGCCCAGTCGCCTCCACACCGCCTCGCCGCGGCTGCGCTCGCCGCGCGGCACGTCACCCAGTGGCGACGTTTACAATGATTTGCGGGCCACGCGGGGCGATCCACACCCATATTGTCCGGCGGGGGGGACCCCCGCGCCTCGTCTTTGTCGCTCATGTCGTCGCCTGGACCAAGTGGGCGAGACTCCTCCATCGGCTCTCCAACCTCAGGGCACCTCAGGGATGGCAGGCGGCACGTCCTCGCGCTGGTCCGCGGGCGGTCGTGGCCCCGGAATCCCGCGCAGTTCATCAACGAACGATTGTCGTTCGGGGGGGGGGGGGGCGCGTTGGCCCGCGCCTCCGTCGCGATGTCTGGCGAGACGCAGGCGCGGAAGCACATCGGCCGCCGCGCGCGGCCGGGGCCCCATCGGCGATCGCCCGCGCGATTTCGGCCGTCGAGCCCTACGATCCATTAGCCAGTGTTCCACTTCGGCGCGACCTCGCCGTCGGTTAGCCTTCTGCGAAAGCACGCTACGCCCCCGATTACGATACTCGACGGCCAAGAGCGCCGCGCCCCCGAACGCGGCGCGCGCGGCCCCGCTGCCCGCGCCGCGCCCGGCGAACGCCTTCCTGGCGACAGCGCGGACTGCTCCCCGGCGCGACAACTCATCAGACGCGTCTTCCGCGTCTGGCCAGGGCACCCTGCGCGAGACAAAAAGCTCATCCATCGTCGAATTGGCTCCCGGGCGCGCGGGGGCGCCGGCCGCGTGCCCGCGGAGACGACGACGGCATTGTCCACCTCCGCGGCCGTCGCTATCTCTCCGTCAAGACCAAGGACTTCTTCTCGCGAACCACTTTTTTGAACGCGCTCTTCCACGGGCCATCGCTTCTTCCGGCTCGTCCGATCTGCTCCGGGGACTTGACTCCGCCGCCGCGAAGATCGACCCATCGGCTCTGGACCTGCCGCAGGCGCGCCAGCGCCGCTGGAGCGCAGCGAGGCAACGGGCGAATATAACGCTCTGCAGCGCCGTTCCCCGGCAAGCGACGCTCGGGGAAGTGAATGTTTCACCGCTGTGGTTTACCTCGAAGCGGTCGATTCACATGTCATAAGAGAAGCAGACTTGCGTAATAAATTCAATGCAATTGGGCGACGTCCGCGAGATGCGGCGTTTCGGGCCGCGCCCGAACAACCGATGAAGCCGCCGAAAGGCGACCCGCGCTCTGAAATATTTCTCGAGCCAATTTTTTTCTGGGCCCGTTCCGACTCCGGCCCGCCTGGGAGCGGCAACTGATCCGGGATGTCCTGCCCCCCGCTCCCGAGGTGCTCCTGCGCCGCGGCGGCCACCCCCCGGCCGTCGCCAGCTGCGCCACGTCGCCCCGCGGCCTCTCCGCTGCGGCCCCAGCTGGAATGGCGGCAACAACTAAGCGACCCAATCGGATCTGATGCGCTAGTTCACGCAGGAGATTCACATCGATCCACGTCAAGAATCACGTCAAGTCCTCACTCGGATTCGAGTACCTGGAAACAGATTCAGGCGTCGCCCTCGGGGCTCTGCCGCAGCTGAGACCGCGGCGCTGGCCCGTGGAGAACACGGCATCCTGGCCTGGGGCGGAAGCCGAAGCTGGGACAGCATGGACTGGGCATGGCCCTGTCGCCTCGACGCACTCATCCGGCGCGCCCGTCATCGAGTGGGCACCAGGCCCCTCGGGCGCAACAGTCGCGGCGATGTCAGCCCCCCCCCTCGAAACGGCAGCGGCTGCACCTTGGGCAGCAGCCCGAGGCGGCAGCGGCGGCGCCCGGGGCGGCAGCCCGAGGCCAGGGCTCTGCCCGGCGCGCGGAAAGCCATGAAGCCAAAAAGCTCCGATACAACCTTCGTGGAAGTCCGGGCGCGCCCTAGAGACGCGGCCGCGCGCTCGCGCTCGAGGCTGCCTCTAGCCGCAGCGGCGCCAGGCACGGCAACTTCACCCAGGCACCCTTTGCCCCCCCCCCCCCTCTCGAACGCGCCCTGCGACGCTGCGCGATGCGAGAGGACATGCGAGAACAGATAGCAACTCGACTTGGCTGCAATACCTTGCCACTGTCGATGAGATGGATGGCCGGCGATATACCGGCGGACGCGGCGGGCGCGAACTGCTCTTCGTCGCCGCCCCCGCGCAACTGGAGCTCTCGCTCACCAGTAAACGGCGCCATTGCCGTCCTGGGTTTGCCCTCGCACTCGGGGCCCTCGGACCGGTGGCCACTCTGTGGCAGACCTTGCATTCGGAGCGCTTCTTCCCCTCCTGGAGATGGTTCTTGCGACCCCCAGGGTCGGCGCTCCTCTGTCGCCGCCCTTAGGTGGTGAAGTCCACCAGAGGTGAAGTGGTAACCTTCGCCTTTGCCCATGTTTTTGTCTTCCCCATTGGCGCCGTGGTTGGCAACCAGGTCTTCCTGGATCACATCGGGAATTCCTGTTTCCGTGTATCCCGTTTTGACCATCTCATCGATCACTTCAGCGTCGAGTTCCTCTTCCCCCTGTACATGGGACAAATGAACGCACGGTTGATCGTCGGCCCAGACATGGCCCTCCGTTCCACCGTCTGCTATCCAAGCCTTGACGGCCCAGGCTGCGTCGGTCCAACCATGCTCGGGAGTATAACCAGACGCATGGAAACCGTTCTGCTCCTCAGGATACTGCTCCTCCTACCCACGCCAACTGTCGTCGGCAGCGTGTTGGGCCTGCGGCGGCGTAGCGTACCAAGTCTTGCCCTTGCCCTTGCTCCTGTAAGGATAGCCGGGCTTGTACTGTGCAGGAATGGGGCTTTCGCCTGGAAAACCTCCTTCGCCATGTTGGCAGGTATTGATGCTACCGCGCTGAAGAATTGTGGCCTCTCTGATCTGATCATAGATGGCCACGTTACCCGTGGATGTCAGTACCGTCGGGTTCTCTGAAGGTGAAAAGCCTGCGTCGTCCAAAAGAGGAGATCTAAGCATGTCGTCGCACATGACACGTTTCCACCAGCACGTTCTACGCAAGAAGCACAAAATCCTTGATTCACCGCTCTGTCGTGGCATCGGCCCGTAGGGTCCCTGTCCTAGTTGGAGCGGGACTCTAGCGTCTGGCGCTTCGATGGGAAGAGGCGAAGTTCGGATCGCTAGTTCCAGCTCGTCAAATTCTCTCGCATTCACAAGCGTGTCTTTTCCTATATCCATTGCTCAATTGAACGCGTCGCCTCTGAGGCCGTGCGCAGTCTTGTTGGCAGCTGTGGACAACCGTTGTTGTTGTGACTATCCTGTGGTGTGGTCTGTGGCGGTTAGACCGGCGTTCATGCGCACTTCTGTGCGGAGTTCCCACCCGTGGAAATGATTAACCGCGCCGTCGTAGATGCAAGAGCCACTCTTCATCTCCAGTCGTGTCAACGCGGCAGCGTTCGGACGATAGCGAAGAAACAACAATACCACGGCCACGGAGACAATCCCTTCAAAAGGGTGACTCTTCAGTGAGGTGTGGCGGTGGTGACTCTCTCTTGAAGGAGACGAGCCCTGCGCACAGCGGTATGATGCCGAAGATCGTGTTGCCGCTCCGCTGCCAGTGAACGATGACGCTTTTTCAGCTTTGGCAAAAAAAAGGCCCCTGGGAGCCAAACAGCGGCGAGTGGCGCTTGTCACCTGTCCTGCACGCACACGAAATAACACTCATAATGATACGCGACCATGCCCCCCACGAAAAGCAAATCACGTCCCTGGGCGGCGCGCGGTGCTGACTCACACTGCTGTTTACTTTACAACGTTATACGCCCCGTTACCTACAGCATGAACGAGCAATGAACGACTGCCAACGACACGTTGCAACATCTCGCCCCTGGACCCATGGACCTACATCCCCTGACCTATCACCCGCTAGTTGGAGTTAAGAGTCGTGCGCATCCCGATCAAGCGATTGACGACCCCGGGTGGAACGTTGCAAAGTGCTCGTTTGCTGTCTGAGCTTCTACAGCACACACACACACAGACCCGCACTTGTGCCACTACGAAATTCGGGTCGGGCGAACGGGGGGGATAGCAAAGGGGGGGGTGAGAATCAGCTCGCGTAGCTGGTCTCCCCGGCGCCTCCCGGCGCCGGAGGCGGCTATGTATCGAGGAATGGGCCCCTCCGCGGGGCCGAAACCAGCTGCATGCAGCAGATGTCGTACCCCCCCCTTTCCCTGCCCCCCCCTCTCGTCCGGCCCGAACCTGTGCCACTACGACATGGACGTCCTCGGGAGGCGCGCTCCCCGAGGGTGGCCGTGGCTGCTCGACCTGCTGCCGCCCCGGCCCGTGCCACTCCTGGCGGCATCGTGCGCATCGGCACTGCCGCCGGCGGCGTAGGCCTGCCTGCGGGCGGAGAAGAGGCTGATCTGGAACCGGAGCCGGTCGCGCCGGTCGCGCCGGTCGCGCCGGTTGCGCCGGTCGCGCCGGTCGCGCCGGTCGCGCCGGTCGCGCCGGTCGCGCCGGTTGCGCCGGCTGCGCCGGTCGCGCCGGTTGCGCCGGTCGCGCCGGTCGCGCCGGTCGCGCCGGTCGCGCCGGTCGCGCCGGCTGCGCCAGCTGCGCCGGTCGCGCCGGTTGCGCCGGTTGCGCCGGTCGCGCCGGTCGCGCCGGTCGCGCTGGTTGCGCCGGCTGCGCCGGCTGCGCCAGCGGCGCCGGCTGCGCCAGCGGCGCGTCGATTGTGATATCAACACAGACATCACAGTCGTCATGTCGCTCTCCCGTCGTGTCCCGTGGGTGGTGTCATGATCTCGTGGCGTGGCGTGGCGTGGTGTGGGGTACGGTGTGATGTGGCGTGATGTTGTGTGGCGTGGTGTGTGGTGTGGTGTGTGCGTGTGTGTGGTGTGGTGTGGTGTGTTGTGTGTGTGTGTGTGTGTGCGTGTGTGTGTGCGGTGCGGTGTGGTGCGGTGCGGTGCGGTGCGGTGCGGCGTGGTGTAGTGTGTAAGTGAGGTCGGTTGCGACACCATCACAGAGATCGCACTTGCCATGTAGGTGCCCCATGGGAGGTGTCATGAGGACGTGATGTCGTGATGTCGTGCCTTTCTGCGGGGGGGATGCCCGGGCAGACTCCTGCCGGCCTTAGTCAAAATGAAGAACACGAGAGGCCGCGGGGGCAGGAATGGAGGAGGGGGAAAGGAGGGCCGAGAGCGAGGATACCACATCAGGAGCAACCTTTTTGACATCGGATCTCGAATGTGTGCGTCGCGAGCTACGCCTCGTAGTCGCCGACGCATCGCCGGGCCGGCCCGTCGGCTGCGCCGGCGCGCACCGCCGCGGGAGGAGCAAGAGGAAACGATGCGGTACTGCGTGCGGAAGTCGCATGCAGAAGGCGCTGGAAAAGTCCCCGGCCGCACCCCGCCCTGCAGCGGATGGCGCGCGGAAGCGTCGAGTAAACAGAAAAACTGCGTCAGCAGCCCGGGTGTGCGTGCAACCCCGGGTGCCTTTCTGCGAACGCAGCGGCGGGGAAAACGACATGCTTGAGCAGCTCGGGCGTGCGTGTAATCCCGAGTGCCTTTCTGCGGGAGCATGCCCGTGGAGACTTCTGCCGGCCCTCGTCAAAATTAAACGCGAGAGGCCGCGGGGGCAGGAATGGAGGAGGGGGAAAGGAGGGCCGAGAGCGAGGAAACCACATTAGGAGCAACCTTTTTGACATCGGATCTCGAATGTGTGCGTCGCGAGCTACGCCTCGTAGTCGCCGACGCCTCGTAGTCGCCGACTCGAAGATAGAACAAGAAGGAGAGAGGTAAATCAACGTACACCTCACAACAATGCCGTGACCCCCCAACATATCGTGGCCAACGATTGTGAAAACCGCTCTTACCAATCTCATCAGGGCGAGGCATGCAAGATATTTGAGGCACCAGACGGTATCGATACCGATGCTTCATGGCCCTCTCCTGGGGTGCCTTCTGACCAGACTCCCGAGGCGAATCCAGCGGTGGCGACGAGGGCCTCCCAGGAGGCCCAACGAGGCGCAAACGAGGCAAGGGTAGCGGTATGTGTGTCTGGAGAACCTGGGGCGGATCGGGAAAGGAGACGCTGCCATGAGCTCTCGGTGGCACGGAGGGCGTGGCCCTGCAGGTAGGGGTGACCTTTGGTGTGCAGCTTGGGGGGGGGGCTGCGGGGGAGGGAGGGGGCCAGATCCAAGCGCGTGGGCCAGTGCCTGAGGGAGCCCTGGTGGGCCCGCACCAAAGGTCAATTTGGCGAAGGGTCGCTCTCACGCGCAGCTGAATCTTGGTCCTGCAGGATCTGCCTCGTGGCAGCCCAACGCGCTGGGACAGCGCAGTAGAACATGATCGACCCACGAACCCGGAAAGGAATATAGAAATGTAAGGCATTGTAACATTTCAAAGACACCTGATTGGGCGACGGGCACATGCAATGCTAAATGTATCGATGATGATGTACTGTGCCGAGGGCTGTGCTGTGCTACGCCGTGCTGAACTGCGATGTGCCATGCCGCGATTGTTTTCTATATAGCGTTGTGGATCGAGTCCTCCCTGGCATCCGAGTCCTCACCGAACTGATCTGGAGCGTAAGCTCGAGCTGCTCAGGATGGTAGCTGCCCCAGAATTAATCGACAGAGGGAACATGCCAAGAGGACGCGCCGCGGAACGTCCCAAGGGACGCGCCAGGCGACGTGCCAGGGGACGTGCCATGGGGACGCACCGTGGGACGTGCCAAGGGGACGCGCTACGGAACGTGCCAATGGACGTGCCGAGGGACGTGCCATGGGACGCGCCGCGCGACGTGCCAGGTGGACTCGCCACGGAACGCGCCAAGGAACGTGCCAAAGTGTATAGTTGAGTGTATCGATATTGATGTACCGTGCCGACGGCTGTGCTGTGCTGGGCCGTGCTGAACTGCGATGCGTCATGCCGCGATTGTGCTCTCTCTCTCTCGTGCCAAAGTGTATAGTTGAGTGTATCGATATTGATGTACCGTGCCGACGGCTGTGCTGTGCTGGGCCGTGCTGAACTGCGATGCGTCATGCCGCGATTGTGCTCTCTCTCTCTCTCTCTCTCTCTATAGATATAGATATAGCGTTGTGGATCGAGTCCTCCCTGGCATCCGAGTCCTCACCGAACTGATCTGGATCGTAAGCTCGAGCTGCCTGAGCAGATGGTAGCTGCCCCAGAACTAATCGACAGAGGGAACATGCCAAGAGGACGCGCCGCGGAACGTCCCAAGGGACGCGCCAGGCGACGTGCCAGGGGACGTGCCATGGGCACGCACCGCGGGACGTGCCAAGGGGACGCGCTACGGAACGTGCCAATGGACGTGCACCGCGCGACGTGCCAGGGGGACTCGCCACGGGACGCTCCGCGGAACGTGCCAAGCAACATGCCAGGCTGCAATGCTAAAGGTATCGATATTGATGTACCGTGCCGAGGGCTGTGCTGTGCCTGGGCGACCTGGACACGTGAAAACACGCGTTTCGCTCAAGACGTTGTCAGCACATCCTCATGCTAGACATCCGCTTGGGCAACCTGGACACGTGCAAACAAAGCGTCTCGCTCGAGACATCCTCAACAAATGCTCATGTTAGACATCCGCCTGGGCGACCTGGACACGTGAAAACAAGCCTCTGGTTCGAGACATCCTCAACAAATCCTCATGCTAGACATCTGTCTGGGCCACCTGGAGGCGTGAAACCAAGCGTCTCGCTCGAGGCATCCTCAAGACCAGGGCACGAATCCACTTGAGAGATCCTCAGAATTCAGGCCCCCAGGAGAGGACAATCTATAACACAAAACAAGCGTTTCGCTCGAGACATCCTCAACAAATTCTGAAAAACAAGCGTTTCGCTCGAGACATCCTCAAATCCCACCAGCCCTTTGGGCGTGAGTGGTTCAGCGAGCTCTCTCTGTCCTCAACCCCCCTTCTTCCCCTTCGGGGAGGGGTTTACCCCTCCCCCTACCCCCTCCCCCTGGGCCTGGAGGGGGTGTTCCGCGGGTCGCCGGGGGGGTCTTTTTCGACTCCTCGGAGGGCTAAAAAACGACACCCCTCACGAGGATTCTGGCCCCGACGGGGGGACGGAGATAAGGTACCCTCCTCTTCCTTGAAGCCAAAAACATTGATTTTACTACGGTTTTGGCTCCATTTGGCCCTTCTGAGGGGGCAGCGCTCATGCAAGCTCCCCCCTCCCGTCAAGGCAATATTATTGATTTTACTAAGGTTTTGGGCTCATTTTGCCCTTCCGAGGGAGCAGCGCTCATTAAAGCTCCCCTCTTCTTGGATCCATGCCCTCCAAGATGGCCCCCCGAAGCGCCCAGGAGGCACCAAGAGGCCCCAAGATGGCCCCAAGAGGCCCCCCGGAGGCCCCCAACCGGGCGCGCCGGGCGCGCCGGTCGCGCCGGTCGCGCCGGTCGTGCTGATCGTGCCGGTCGCGCCGGTCGCGCCGGTGCCGGTCGCGCCGGTCGAGCCGGTTGTGCCGGTCGCGCCGGTCGCGCCGGTCGCGCCGGGTGCGCCGGTCGCGCCGGTCGCGCCGGTCGCGCCGGTCGCCGGTGCCGGTCGCGCCGGTCGCGCCGGTCGCGCCGGTGCCGGTCGCGCCGGTTGCGCCGGTCGCGCCGGTCGCGCCGGTCGCAATCGCGCTGGTCGCGCCGGTGCCGGTCGCGCCGGTCGCGCCGGTCGCGCCGGTTGGTTCTAGTTCGGTCCCCTTTGTGCGGGCGAGCACAGACGCCAGACGAGGAAAGGTACTGATGCCGCCACCCTGGGCTCAGGTTGCTCCCATCCGACTTCAGGACCACATCCCAGAAATAATTTCGAGCACCCGGAAAAGTGTCAAAGGAGTGTCGAAACAGTGTCGAAACAATGTCGGGCGAGTGTATCCCAGGACCCGACACGTGAAAACCCTTGAGTTTCGGTATTTTTTTGGCGCTCGAAATTATTTCTTGTGATCAAAGCTAAAGTAGGTTGGAGCATCATATCCCTGGGCTCGTTTTCCCTGTGGGGGCCTCCTGGGTGGCTCTCGTCGCCACCGCTGGATTGAATTCGAACTCTCTGGTCAGAACGCACCCAAGGAGAGGCCTGGGGAGTAGCGGCATCGGTACCTTTTGGTTCCCCCAGAAGCGGAAAGCGGTGAATGATCAGGTATGCAGTCGGGGCGTTGACCTAAGGAACCCTAAATAAGGAACGAGGCCCCTTTTTTTCCACAAGTTAAACTTCGATTTCCCATCGAAAACATAAGGAAAACCTGAGGCAAGCTGTGAAACAATCAAGGAACACCGAGCCCCTGCCCAACGAAAAGGGTTCCTTGTTCAGCGCCTCGACTGTACACGCATCGGCGCAGGAGCAGCACGAAAGGAAAGAGCAGGGAGATAAATACCCAGAGGAGGAGGCCGGGCACAGGCAGGCGCGGTACAACCAGACGCGGCCAAGAGCAGCGAGCAGGATGAGGCTGCGACGTAGCCAAGGAGCTCGGAGCTGCCAAACTGTGGAACTTTGGAGCGGCTATGCACTGAGATTGCAGGTTGCGACATCCGAAGCATACCACTTCCAGCTGAGAGACGGGGATAGAGCTCGGATTTCGCCTCGTGTTCAACGAATTCCGAACCCTACCCCCGCCGCCAATCGAAGGTAGGGTTCGGATTTCGCAACCGACGGCCCCGAGGTCCCGCAAGGGTTCCCGGAAGTAGCAACCACCAAAAACTGCCCGTCCTAATATTTCCACGACGTAAGAGCGAGCCTGACCTCTACGAGAGGCCTCCCAGATGGGGTCCGAATGCAATCAAAACGCATAATCCCACCAACCCTGCGGCGTGAATGGTTTAGAGCGTTTCCTCGGCCAACCCGCTTTTCTTCCCTTCGGGGAGGGGTTTATCCCCCCTACCCCCTCCCCCCCCTCAACCTGGGTCTGGACGGGGACTTCCGCGAGGGGTTGAAGCGTCCGAGATGGTCTCCGCGAGGAACCCAAGTCATTGATTTGACCTAGGTGACTGCCACATGCTAGCCTCCTTGGAGGGGGGCTCTAATTAGGGAGCTTCCCTCCTTTGATCGATCTCCTCCAAAATGATCCAAAAACGTCCCCCAAGGCTCCCAAGGGCGCTCCAAGACGGCCCCAGCTTCCGAGAGGCCCCCGAGATGCCCCCGAGAGGCTCCCAAGAGACCCCCGAGACGCCCGGCCAGGCCCCCCAGAGGCATCCAAGACGCCTCAAGAGGCCTCGGTGAGAAGGCCAAAGTCAGTTATGTTACTAAGGTTTTGGCTACATGTTGGCCGCCTGGAGGAGGGATTCTAATTAAGGAGCCCCCATCCTTTGACCGATCTCCTACAAGATGTCACCAAGATAGCCTCCGATGCCCCCAAAGGTGCCCCAAGACGGCCCGAAGAGGTGCCGGGGAGGCCCCACGAGGCCCCCAAGATGCCCCCAAGAGGCTCCCAAGAGACTCCCAAGAGGCCTCCAAGAGGCCCCCAAGATGACCCCACGAGGCTCCCAAGACGCTACAAGAATACTCGGCGAGAATGCCAAACTTACTGATTGTACGAAAGGTTTGGCACCATTTAGCCTCCTGTACGGCCCGCCTTTGACCGCTGTCCTCCAAGATTTCTCTAAGATGGACCCCGAGAGCCCCAAGTGGCGCCCAGGAGGCCCCAACAGGCCCCAGAGAGGCCCCTAAAATGCGTCCAAGAGGCCCCTAAGAGACTCCGAAGAAACCCCCCAAGAGGCCCGAGGAGGCTGCCGTCCAAGACGCTTCGAGAGGCCCCCAGGACCGCCAAGAGGATCCCACGAGGCCTGCAAGCTGCTCTCAGGAGACATCCGACGAAAATCCGAGAGGCATCCAAGAGGCCTCTGGCCTGTCTGCTCGCCCTCCTCCTCCTCCTCCTCCTCCTCGTCCTCTTCCTCGTCCTCATCCGCCTTATAATTATCCTCCCTCTCATTCCCTCCTCCATCCTCCCTCCTCCCCGTCCTCCTGGTCATCCTCTGGTTCCCCATCCATCCTCCCCCTCCTGGGGCATGACGAGTTCCCAAAATCTGTATTCCACTGCATGCTCCCCAACATGCCTGATCAGTGCAACTCGCCTGAGCATAGTTTCCAGATGGGCTGGTAGGGTTACGCGAACCGTCTAGAATAAGGATGCGCGGTAAGCTTGCGAGGGCCTTAGCAGACCATGTTGACGATTCTCGAACGTGGTTGGCCAGCGAAAGTTGCCAAAGATGAGCCGAAGGAGCTTAATCTTGGAAGATTGCTCATCCTTGCTATGCGCTTTGACTGTAGATTGGGTCGGAGGATCGCGCCGCATCGCCAATGCATCGGCGATGCGATCAGCGACGTCAGCGATGCAGCGGCGACGTCTACGCGGAGACGATCGCGCTCCACATCGAGCCGCATCGCCGAGGCATCCGCACAGCAGCGCGATCTTCCGTCTCCATCTTGGAGACGGCCAGGGGGTCTGAACTGGTCAGGACCCCCGGAAATTCGGCCAGGAGGGGGATGATGTCACATCCGCTCAACATCGGCCCCCGGACCCCTTCCGGGGTCCATCTGACACAGTTGTTCACCCAGGATTCGTTTTTGACGGCCCCTGGGCCCGAAAACTGTGCCCAGAGGCGACCCAAGGCAACAAGCAGCCCGAACGTAGCACCTCGCTTCTCCCTCCCGAGCCAGTGCTGGGCCACCTCAGACCCCCAGACGGCCCCAAACCCCATCTGCCGGGACCCCATCTGGGAGGCCTGGCCACGGTTCGGGCGGCATGTCCCCCTCCAGGCCGAGTTCGGACGAAGAAGTAAACACAGTCAAAACATGCCCAAGAATGGCCCAAAATAGTGGGGACAGTCGCCCCTGGACTATTCGTGGAGTAGTGTTGAATCCTCCTCCTGTACAGGGGACACGCCCGACTCGAGCCTCGCTCCTCGAACCCACTCGGCGAGGTAGTCGCTGCCCTTGAGGGCCACGGTGACCTGCTCAGAGTTCATGCCCTTGTACATGCCATCGGATGTAGCATTCATGCCACGTTGGCCTTTGCCTCGACGAGGACCTTGAGCGTCTCCACCTGGCCCTTCTGCTCGGCGATGAAAACGAGCGTGGCGCCGTTATTGTTGGCCTTGTCCAGGTTGGCCTTTGCCTCGACGAGGACCTTGAGCGCCTCCACCTGGCCCTTCTGCGCGGCGATGAAAACGGGCGTGGCGCCGTCGTTCATGGCCTTGTCCAGGTTGGCCTTTGCCTCGACGAGGACCTTGAGCGCCTCCACCTGGCCCTTCTGCGCGGCGATGAAAACGGGCGTGGCGCCGTCGTTCATGGCCTTGTCCAGGTTGGCCTTTGCCTCGACGAGGACCTTGAGCGCCTCCACCTGGCCCTTCTGCGCGGCGATGAAAACGGGCGTGGCGCCGTCGTTCATGGCCTTGTCCAGGTTGGCCTTTGCCTCGACGAGGACCTTGAGCGCCTCCACCTGGCCCTTCTGCGCGGCGATGAAAACGGGCGTGGCGCCGTCGTTCATGGCCTTGTCCAGGTTGGCCTTTGCCTCGACGAGGACCTTGAGCGCCTCCACCTGGCCCTTCTGCGCGGCGATGTAAACGGGCGTGGCGCCGATATTTTTGGCCTTGTCCAGGTTGGCCTTTGCCTCGACGAGGACCTTGAGCGTCTCCACCTGGCCCTCCTGCGCGGCGACGAAAACGGGCGTGGCGCCTTTGTTGTTGGCCTTGTCCACTGCGTCCGGATGGGATCGGAGAAGATCGCGAAGTGCGTCAGGTTTGCCGGCGAGCGCAGCCGAGTACATGGCCCCGGAGACGAACCGCTGCCGGACGATGGCGTTCAAGCGGTCCTCTTTGCCTGTGATGTATGCCATGATGACGCGCTTATCAACTTCTCGGGAGGCTTCCGCCTCGCGGACGTTCGTCTTGACACCGATGTCTGCCACTTGCCAAGGAAATGCCCCCTCCTTCTCTACCACCTCACAAACACCGGAGTCATGCTGCCCAACATCCAGCTGCAGAGCTGCTTGCTCAGGGCGAGCCTGTCCCATACAGAACTGGGTGTTCTCTGGGATCCACGCTGCGATGTCGTAGAAGTGCTCTTTCTTACCAGCGGTCTCCACGCTCATGGTGCTCTCGTAGCATTCCAGGACGCACCAGACGCGATGGAAGGGGGTTGCCTTCTCGTCCATCAGCGCGACGGTACCTCAGCTGCCGCTAAGTGGGCGCGGTGTACGAAGCCACGGAGACATTTCTCCATATGAAAATGTGAACAAATGTGGACGACCCAACGAAAATGTGGACGGCCGTCCGCATTTTCCACGCGTTTCCGCATTTTCAAAACCGAGAATGTGGACACAGAATCTGAGAATGTTTCGGCTTTCGGCTGTCCGCATCTGTCCGCACTTTCGCGACGGAAATGTGGACGGCTGTCCGCATGTTCGACTTGCTTCCGCATTTTCCGCATAAACTCGATGAACATGTGGAAACAAATTGACCCCGTGGCTTCTTTACTCCGTATGCACTTAGTGGCCCCCGAGTACCGCAGCACGACTCGGCTCGAAGAACCCTAACGAAAGGCGAATCAACCAAGCCGCCGTTGAGTTCATCGAGATGATGTTGGTTGTTCGCGAACGTGCACAACCAATAGAAGCAACCCTCAGCAAGCCTGCGATGAAGACGGTGTAAGGACAACATGCGGAGGGTCTGGTAGAACGGTGTGCCCCAGTAGTGGCTAACGAACCACGTTGGGACTTGCTCCGCATCGGCAAGCAGCTCGACGAAGGAGCAACGGAAGCGGCTTGTCAACGGCATCACGAAGTAAGCGCAAATGATGTACAGGTTGATGCGCTTCCAGTCCTGCCTGGCGTTGCTCCTGTCCACGACCGTAGTCTTCTCCAAGACCTCCTGCACCAGCGTGCCCAGCTCCTAGGGCGAGGCCAAAGGGCCACCACTAAAGGGTCCAAAATTTTGCACTATTTTTGCACGATTTTGAATTTTGCATTATTTTGTGTTATTTTGCACTATGTTGCACTAATGTTGCACTATTTTGCATTATGTTTGCATTATTTTTGCATTATTTTGCACTATTTTGCACTATGTTGCATTATTTTGCACAATTTTGCATGATTTTGCACTATTTTTGTACTAGTTTGCGCTAGTTTTGCACTAGTTTTGCACTATTTGCGCTATTTTGCACTATTTTGCACTATTTTGCACTATGCACTTGGACCCTTTAGTGGTGGCCACTTTGCTTCCACCGAGCTCCTGCAGCTGCGCCACCGAGATGCCGCGCTTGGCTGTGTCACTGATGATGGAACCTCTCTCGCGATACGCCTCCGGCACCGTCACGTGGTCCATCCATGCCTTGCATTTGGCGTTCTCCGCCTCGGCACGCGCGTGGACCGCTGCATCAAGGTCGGCGACCAGCTGCGGCACGCTGTCGATGCCGGTCAGGCCGAACGTCTCGAGTACACGCGCGGCGTCCCGTACCTTCTGCAAGTCGGCCGTGCTCAGGCGCTGGAGCAGCGGTGACGGCGGCATCGTGAGCGGCTCAGTAGCCTGCGGGAACGGCGGCCGACAACTCGTCAGATCCTGGACGGCAGGCGCTTGAGCCAGAATGGCTACGGAAGTGATACGCTTGTTTTGAGACTGGTTGGTGTGCTTATCTGATCAATCAGGTCTACCTGAAGTGCGATATCATGCTGAATGTCGCCACTGGTCATAGTAATGATGGAGCGTATGAGTCCCCTTGCGATTGACAGTCATGCTCGTTTCCTCCCAAAATCGTCTGACATGTTGTCCGATGATGATGCTCGATTACCGCCCAAGATTGTCAAGCGTGTCATTAATCGAACGGTCAGTCGTAGAGTTCTAGTGTTGTCCCAACACTGTGCTCAAAGACTCAAATGCATCGAATCATTACGAGACCTATGTTCCTTCACATCAGCAATTCGGCCCCTGCTGACTTTTTTCAAAATAATATATTGGGATGAAACGCTGCCGCTGGATATATCGAGCACAGTTGATCACAACACAAACGCTCCTGCGATCCCCGCCAAGAGGGCAAGAAATGGTAAGCTCAGATCCGCATGGCTACATTGCAACCGAACCGCTTGACCACCATCTCGACCGAACTGGCGGAATTCGACACGCGTCCGACAAAATACGTTCGACGAGGGATGCGCTGCACAATGCCCCGGCCACGGGCAGCGCTACGAGGGAAAGCGGGCCCTTCGATGTGTCACTTTCAGCGCCCGTGAAAGTGACACCTCCCAGGGCCCACTTAAAGAGCACCAGAAAGGCTCCAAGAAGGCCCCGAGAAGGCCCCAGGGCGGCACCAAGAGGGCTCCCAGAGGGACCCAAGAGAGGCCCCAAGAAGGGCCCAAGAGGGCCCTCCGCGGTGTCACTTTCAACGCCCGTGAAAATGACACCTCCCAGGGCCCACTTAGGGCCTCAGAAAAGCTCTAAGAAGGCCCCGAAAGGGCCATAGAGAGCCGCCCTGGGTTCAACTCCGCGTGGCGGAGTTGGAAGCGATAACTTCAATACCCTACTGGAGGCCTCTTAGGGGCCCTAAGACGGCACTGAAGAACCCCATCGGGGCTTTTTCAAAGGCAGAGGAGGGCGCAAAAAGGGGCCTCAGTGAGCCCCTGGTCTAACTCCACCTGGCGGAATTGGAAGCGATATCGCCCGGCGCCTTCATGGAGCCGCTCGGAGCTTCCAAGACGGCTCCAGAAGGCCCCAGGAGGGCCCCAAAAGGATCGAACGACGATTCCTGGAAGTGCACCAGTGAGACCCTTGTTGACCTCCGCCTGGCGGAGTTGGAAGCGACAATTTCCAGTGCCCTCTTGGGGCCTCTGGGGGGCCCCTCAGAAAGCTTTGGGGAGCACAGTGAAGGCCTTCGCAGGGCCGCGTGAGAGCCGTACCAGGGCCGCATGTGTGCGCGGATGGGGGCGACGAGTGCTGACGCTGACGAATATGAGAATGATGAGGGCGATCAAGGCTGGCCCGAAACAAATCCTGGCGCCATTGCAGGCCGCCGATTATCGGCCACGCCGCCAGGACGACGCCAAGCAACAAAACGACACCAACCAACAAACCGACACCAACCAACAAACCAACAAATCGACACCGGCCAACAAAAGGACACCAAGCAACAAAACGACACCAAGCAACAAAACGACACCAACCAACGAAACGACACCAACCAACAAAACGGCACGAATCAACAAAACGGCACTGACCAACCAAACGACAAATCACTTCACGACACCAATGAACAACGCGAAATCCACCGACCGCCAACCAAGCATAAAATCAACCGACACAACGAAACCAACCCATAGAGCCAGACCAACCACTGGATTCGTGAGTCGGGGTAGTCATGGAAGTGAGCCGCTGCAGCCCGCGGAAGCCATTAACAGTGACCAGAGCACCGCAATGCAGCAACGTCCCCGGGCGGCGGCGGGAGTCTTGGATCTCCCGCGGGACTGGAGCGTAGCGAGTTCGTCCTGGGTCCGGTTTAGTGAAGTGAAGAATTTCGGGGTGCTTGCATGGCAAAAACCTTCACTTCACTAATCTGGGGCCCCTGGAGCCCCAGGGCGTTTCAGGTCCCCTCGCTGTCTGGGTAGTCCAGGGGGCGCAGTGGCGGCTTACCAGAGGCCCTGTTCCCTAGCCTCACTTGCTTTCACCCGTGGTGCTCGACGGCCGTCTCGGAGCTGTCTTGTGGCGGTCTGGGGCAATCCCGAAGCCTCTTGGAGCCATCCCAAGGCCCCAAGGCGCCACCAATGGGGGCCCCAAGAGAGCTCCCAGAGGGCCCCGAAAGGCCTACAACAGATTGCACGTTCGCGCGAATTCTTTGTACCACTTTGGGGGGTCCCTCTTGGGGCCCTCGGGGAACGTTCTTGGGGCCCTCCGAGGGCCCACTGGGGCCCCGGGAAGGCCCCAAGAACGCTCCCAGAGGGCCCCAAGAATGCTCCAAGAGGGCCCCAAGAGGACCCCCACAAGTGACAAAAACTATTTGCATGAGGGTGCAACTTACTCGGCGCCTCTTGGGGCGCTCTTGGAGCCGTGCTGGGCGCCACTCGTGGACGACATGGGCTGGGCGACGGCATGTGGACCCTGTCGCTTGGGCCATCGGGGGTGCTCCCCAATGGGGCCACGAAGCTTGTGAGCGTATGACGGAATGGGCTGGGCGGCGGCCTGTGGGCCCTGCCTGTGGGGCCGTCGGTGTAGCTCCCCGTGGGGCCACGAAGCGTGTGAAACGTATGCCGAAATATGCTGGGCGGCGGCCTGGGAAACCTGCCACTGGGACCTTTTTTGGGTGGAGCTGCCTATAGGGGCACGAAATGTTTAAGGGTGTCATCAATGTGGCCTGGGCGACGGCATGTGGACCTTGCCGCCGGGACCTCCGATGAACTCCTCACGGGGACACGAAGCGTCTGAGGGGCGTGCCGACATGGGCTGGGCGGCGCACTAAGGACCCTGCCGATGGGGCCTTCGGTGGAGCACCTCACAAGGCCACGAGACTTGCGGGGGATGCGGCGAAGCAGAGACGCGGGGGAACAAGGGGGGTGTTTTGATGATGTTGATGAGGATGGTGGTGGTATTGATGATGGAGACGGCGAGAATGCTGATGATGCTGATGATGATGGTGATGGCGACGATGACGATGGACGATGACGACGGAGACACGCGGAGAGCAGGGGCAGATACGCGAAGAGGGAGGACGAGGGAGGGGGCCGGAAGGAATGACGCGGGGCGGTGTCTCTTCAAAACGAAGAACCAACACTGCAATATGGTAGGAAATTTCTGGACGACCCCCCCCCGTGGCGCGGTCAATGTCCGCGACAGCATCGCTGGCACTACGAACGAAATGATCGAACTCTTCCTGCGACGTTACCCGCGGGGTGGATCAGCCAGGGATGGGGGTCGAAACCGCCCCAGCGCAAAGCAAATGTACAATCCTGAGAAACCCCAGCCCACATCAACCGATCCGCAACAAGCACGCAAGCCTTTGACGACCCCAACGCACGTGACATCGCATAACGCGACGCGCCATCGAAAACGTTCGACGCGCGGCCTCGGAATGACATCGGGCTTCATGGAACGTCGAATGGAAAACATGAAAAACCGCCCTGTGGGCTCCGAGACCCAAAATTACTGATGTGAAGGATTTCGGCTCGTCGAATCATGCACACAGGGCTCCAGCGGCTCCATGGGAGTCAGCATGTTCCCAGAAGCCCCCGCCCCCAACCTCGCACGGTGCGTACTCGCGCGCAGCCTTGTCGTGCGCGCCGCTGAAGCGGGCGGCCAGCAGCGAGCCTTTGGCCGCGCAGAGCGTGCTGCGCCGCCGCTGCACGACCTTGGAAGGTTGTCAGCCCCCACGGGATCGACCGCTGTGCGTGATTCTGACGTGTTTCTGCGCTCTGGATCATTGCGGGGATTGTAGGGTCAGCTTTCGACTGGCTGCTGCCGGACGTCGTGGGGCAAGTTCGAAAACGACAGAGCAAGGCAGCATCAACTAATTACAGGGAGAGAACAGCTCCAAACAACCGGCCGCTGCACGTGTGTCGTCCAAGACACCGCATGACTGTGTCACGCGTGAATGCATGCTGGATAGCGGGAGATGCTAAGTTTCCGATCTTTGAAGGGGCTCGCTCAATCAAGTTTGTGCACTGTTGTGTTTCAAGTGTTCAAGGTAACTTGGTGGATGTTGCACCAGCTTACTAAGCAACTAAACGCGAAATCGACTGACTTCCGGAACATCCGCGGTCCACATCATCTGCCAAAGTACTTTGTTCAGAAGGACCGGCGCGTGCAATTTGCCATGCGCTGGGCCTGGCCTACGAATCAGTGCGCAGTATATATGCAGGCTTCACGCGTAGTACTCTAGGACTGGCCTTCTCACCACCGATGTTGAGGGTGAGGATGTCACCTTGGCCAACGAGAGTCCGCACAAATGGGACGAGATGCGACCATGCCATGTGGTTGTGGTATCAGCTTTCAAGGGCTATTGATCATAGGGCGGGCTAACCGCCATGTCGATAGCCTACGTGTCAAAATTCGACCAGAGTCCTGGATTTCTAGCCAAATTCTGACACGCAGGCTGTTGACATGGTGGTTAGCCCGCCCTATGAATTGAGCAAGAACCATCCGGACATACCATGACGTGCGTTTGTGTGTGCCACATCGGGGCGAGTTCGGCTGGTCTTATCCAATGGCACCCCTCTGAGAGCCAGAGGGCTTAAGACTGGGCGCCGGCGGTAAACCGTCAACCTTTGTTACCGCCGGGGGACTCGTAGAGCTTCCTGACAACATATACTGTCGGAAAAAATTGCAGAGAACCAATAGTTTTTGAGCCCAACTCGAGTATCAGACCGAGTTCAGAATCTGAATGCGACAGACGGACGCGTCTGATGTCTCCGAATCGATTCCTGTGATTACCCGCCCTGCAGCCTCCCTACAGCCCGAATTAAGTGCAGAACGCCGACAGTAGCTCTCAAGATGACTGGAAGAATGCGAACAGTTTCGTGATTCTGGATCGCGCAACAGACTGAGTTCAGAGCTCTGGATTCAACAGGCGAACGCGCCTGATGATTCTGAGTGCGATAGGCGTGCTTACCAGCACTGTAGCTGCCCTACAGCTCGAGTTGAGTAGAAAATACCGACAACGCGTATCAAGTGGACTCGAATCATACGAATAGGTTTGCGGACCTAGCTCGGCTAGCAGACCGAGTTTAGACCTAGGGATTCAACAGGCGAACGCGTCTCATCATTCTGAGTGCGATACGAGTGCTTACCAGCACTTTAGCTGCCCTACAGCTCGAGTTAAGTAGAAAATACCGACAACGCGTATCAAGTTGACTCGAATAATACAAACAGGTTTGCGGACCTAGCTCGACTGACAGACCGAGTTCAGACCTCTGGGTTCAACAGGCGAACGCGCCTGATCATTCTGCATGCATTAGCTGTGGTTACCAGCTCTGTAGCTGCCCTAGAGCTCGAGTTATGTTCAGAAAACCGACAGCGCGTATCAAGATGACTCGAAACGGGCGTTCCCGCCAGAGTGTTTTTTGGCCTTCAAAGTTACCCGATCGAGCTGAGATCAAGATGGAGAGCGGAAATAAGATCGAATATCACGACTGGAAGAATACGAACAGTTTCGTGATTCTAGATCGCGCAGCAGACCGAGTTCAGAGCTCTGGATTCAACAGGCGAACGCGCCTGATTATTCTGAGTGCGATAGGTGTGCTTACCAGCACTTTAGCTGCCCTACAGCTCGAGTTAAGTGGAAAATACCGACAACGGTATCAACTTGACTCAAATAATACGAATAGGTTTGCGGAGCTAGCTCGGCTAGCAGACCGAGTTCAGACTTATGAATTCAACAGGCGACCGCGCCTGATCATTCTGCGTGCGATAGGCGTGCTTACCAGCACTGTAGCTGCCCTACAGCTCGAGTTGAGTGGAAAATACCGACAACGCGTATCAAGTTGACTCGAATAATACGAATAGGTTTGCGGACCTAGCTCGGCTAGCAGACCGAGTTCAGACCTATGGATTCGACAGGCGAACGCGCCTGATGATTCTGAGTGCGATAGCTGTGCTTACAAGCTCTTTAGCTGCCCTACATCTCGAGTTCAGTACAAAACACCGACAGCGCATATCAAAATGACTCAAAACGGCCGTTCCCGCCAGAGTGTTTTTTGGCCTTCAAAGTTACCCGATCGAGCTAAGATCAAGATGGCGAGCGGGAATAAGATCGAATATCATGGAAAAAAATACTAGAGCCCTAACGAATTGTCAAATTTCGAGAACGAAATTTTCAGCCGACCAAAAGTCACCAAAAGTTCCGTCGAGATTTTTCTTGCCAACTAGCTCTCCGGAATTACTCTAAGCTTCCAGCTATCACTAGCTAAGGGAAGCTCAACGAGTTACTCTTAGCTTCCAGCTGTAACTAGCTAAGGGAAGCTCTACGAGTTATTACAAGCTGGGCGGTGGTGGTGCCCGCCAGCAGCCATCTCCGCCGCTCCGGAATCCCCGGAGGGGTTCGCTCGAGCCGGCAGCTGGTCCGGGGGAGCCTCTGGCAGGCTTCCACGCGTGCCTGCGCGCGTGCAGGGGCGCGTGGAAGCGTTCCTGGCAGTGCTTCGGAAGCGTTGCGGGCGTGCCCCCAAGAACTTTCAGGAGGGGTTTCCGGTTTCTTAGGCTCCCTTCGCTCTCCGAGCTTACCTCGTAGAGCTCTTCGTTGTACCTCGTAGAGTTCTTCGGCATCGATGAGCAAGAGGAATTCCGGCGCGGGGTGGAGCTAGTGACTCGTAAAGCTTCCCTAAGCTAGCAGCTGGAAGCTTAGGAGTAATTCGGACGCACTGGCGGCTAGTAACTCGTAGAGCTTCCCTTAGCAAGTTCTTGCTGGAAACTTAAGAGTAATACCTTGTAGAGCTCTTCGTCATCGATGAGCTAGAGGGATTCTGGCGCGGGGCGAAGCTAGTACCTCGTAGAGCTCTTCGGCATCGATGAGCTGGAGGAATTCGGGCGCGGGGTGGAGCTAGTAACTCGTAGAGCTTCCCTTAGCAAGTTATTGCTGGAAGCTTAAGAGTAACTCGTAGAGCTTCCCTTAGCAAGTTGTCGCTGGAAGCTTAAGAGTAATTCCCGGGGAGCTCTCTGCGAGCTAGAGGGTTTTCGATTAGAAGCCGGACGGTGGTGGTGCCCGCCAGCAGCCCATCTCCGCCGCTCCACGATCCCCGCAGCAACGCGCCCGACCCGGCAGCGGGTCCGCAGCAATGCAGGGTCGATTCAAAAAAGGTTGACAGTGCTCTGCAGGCGCCCCGGGAGGGTTTGACAGAGCATTGCAGGACGGCCCGCGTCCACGTGTGCCGGCACGCGTGCAGGCACGCATGGGGGCGTGCCTGGCAGTGCCTTCGGAGCGCTTCAAGAGGGCGCCAGGGAGCTTCCCAGGAAAGATTTCCCGTAACTTGTAGAGCTTCCCTTAGCAAGTTCTTGCATGAAGCTTAAGAGGAACTCGTAGAGCTTCCTTCAGCAAGTAACTCGTAGAGCTTCCCTTAGCAAGTCATTGCTGGAAGCTTAAGAGTAATTCCGGGGCGCTGGAGAGCTAGTCGGCAAGAAAAATCTCGACGGACATTTTGATGACTTTTGGTCGGTTGAAAATTCGGTTCTCGAAATTCAGCCATTCGTTAGAGCTCTAATATTTTTTCCCGTGATATTCGATCTTATTCCCGCTCGCCATCTTGATCTCAGCTCGATCGGGTACCTGTTACTGCCAAAAAGCACTGCGGCGGGATCGCCCGTTTCGGGTCAGCTTGTCACGCGGTGACGGTTTTTTCAAGATAACTTTAGCTTCAGGACAGGTACAGAGCTGGTAAGCACAGCTAATCGATTCAGAATAATCCGGCGCGTTCGCCTGTTGAACCCAGAGGTCTGAACTCGGTTTGCTAGCCGAGCTAGGTTCGGAAACCTATTCGTATTATTCGAGTTATCTTGAGAGACGCTCGGGGTTTTCTGTACTTAAGTCGAGCTAAAGGACACTACACAGCTGATACGTACAGAATCTCATTCAGAATCATCAGTGGCCCTTGTCTGTTGACTCCAGAGCTCTGAACACGGTCTGCTGCCCGATCTAGAATCGCAAAAACTATTCGTATTGTTCGAGTTATCTTGAGAGATGCTGTTTGTTCTCTGCACTGAACTCGGGCTGTAGGGCAGTTGCATGGCTGGTAATCACTAGAATCGATTCAGAGACATCAGGCGCGTCTGCCTTTCGAATCCAGAGCTTCGAACTCTGTTTGCTGCCCGAACTAGGTCAGCGAAAATATTCGCATTGTTCGAGTCATCCTGACAGGTGCTGCTGGTTTCCTGCACTTAACTCGGGCTGTAAGGGGGGCTGTTGGGCTGGTAATCGCAGGAGTCGATTCGCAGACATCAGACGCGTCCACCTGTCGCATGCAGAGGTCTCAACTCGGTCTGACACTCGAGCCTGGTTTTCCAAACTATTCGTATTATTCGAGTCATCTTGAGAGGTGCTGTCGATTTTCGCACGTAACTCGGGCTGTAGGAGAGCTACAGAGCTCGTACAGAAGAGAATCCAGAAGCATCGTGGGCGTTCGGCTGTTGCATCCGAGAGGTTTGAAATTGGTTGGGCTGAAAAACTATATCCTCTGTGTAATTTTTTTCTACATTATATGTTGTCAGGAAGCTCTACGAGTCCCCCGGCGGTAACGAAGGTTGACGGTTTACCGCCGGCGCCCAGTCATTGCTGGAAGCTTAAGACTAATTCCCGGAGAGCTCTCTTAGAGCTAGAGGGTTTTAGATTAGAAGCTGGACGGTGGTGGTGCCCGCCAGCAGTCCATCTCCGCCGCCCCACAATCCCCGCAGCAACCCGCCCGACCCGGCAGCGGGTCCGCAGCAATGCAGGGTCGATTCAGCAAGGGATGACACTGCTCTGCAGGCACCCCAGGAGGGTTTGACAGAGCATTGCAGGACGGCCCGCGTCCACATGTGCCGGCACGCGTGCAGGCACGCTTGGGGGCGTGCCTGGCAGTGCCTTCGGAGCGCTTCAAGAGGGCCCCAGGGAGCTTCCCAGGAAAGATTTCCCGAACCTCGTAGAGCTTCCCTTAGCAAGTTCTTGCTGGAAGCTTACGAGTAACTCGTAGAGCTTCCCTTAGCAAGTTATTGCTGGAAGCATAAGAGTACCTCGTCGGGCTTTTCGGCAGCGATGAGCTAGAGGAATTCCGGCGCGGGGTGGAGCTAGTAACTCGTAGAGCTTCCCTTAGCAAGTCATTGGGGTGGAGCTAGTTCCCAGCTCGCTGAGAGCTAAAGGCTTTAAGATTAGAAGCCGGACGGTGGTGGTGCCCGCCAGGAACTCGTCCACGGCGGTCCACGTTCCCCGCAGAAACCCCGGCGGTCCGGCAACGTGTCCGGGAGAGCCCCCCGCAAGCTTCCACGCGTGCCTGCACGCGTGCAGGCACGCATGGACACGTTTCTCCTAGAGCTTCGGCAGCGCTGCAAGGGAGCTTTGCAGGGCTCTCCAGGAAAGATTTCCGAAAGAGTACCTCGTGAAGCCCTACGGCATCGATGAGCTAGAGGAATTCCGGCGCGGGATGGAGCTCGTGACTCGTAGAGCTTCTGTGAGAGCGCAGCGGCAAGGCTTAAGAGTAACTTGTAGAGCTTCCCTCAGCAAGTACCTCGTAGAGCCCTTCGGCATCGATGAGCTAGAGAAATTCCGGCGTGGGGTGGAGCTAGTACCTCGTAGAGCTCTTCGTCGTCGATGAGCTAGAGGAATTCCCGCGCGGGGTGGAGCTGGTGACTCGTAGAGCTTCCCTAAGCTAGTTGCTGGAAGCTTAAGAGTAATTCCCGGAGAGCTCGCTGAGAGCTAAAGGGCTTAAGATTAGAAGCCGGACGGTGGTGGTGGCCGCCAGGAGCTCTTCCACGGCGGTCCACGTTCCTCGCAGCAGCTTCGGTGAACCGGCAACTGGTCCGGGGGAGTCTCTGGCGAGCTTCCACGCGTGCCTGCATGCGTGCAGGCACGCATGGAAGCGTTCCTGGTAGCGCTTCAACAGCGTTGCGGGTGGCCCCCAGAGCTCTCAAGGAAAGAGTTCCCGACCCTGAGGAAGTCTTCGCTCTTCGGGTTTTGGACGCTAACAAGTAACTCGTAGAGCTTCCCGTAGCAAGTTATTGCTGGAAGCTTAAGAGTAATGACTCGTAGAGCTTCCCCAAGCTAGTTGCTGGAAGCTTAAGAGTAATTCCGGCGCGCTGGAGCGCTAGTAACTCGTAGAGCTTTCCTCAGCAAGTTCCCGGATAGCTCCTTGGAGAGCTTAGGGTTTCAGATAAGGAGCCGGAGGTGGGTGGTGAGAAGCACACGCCCACCTTCGCCGGTCCACGATCTTTCCAGCAAGTTGCCGGAGGTTGCAGCGGGTCCGGGAGCGTGGCTTCCTAGCGTTTCCCAATACGCGTGGCTCCAGGGTGCGCGAAGCGCTTACAAGAGCTTCGGAAGAGCTTCGGCAGTTCCCGGATAGCCCTTTTGTTGGGCTACATAGGGTTGTTAGAGGAGAAGCCGGCGGGTGCGCGTGCATCGCCGCACTCCCACGCTCCCCGCTCCACGATCCCCGCAGCGGCTCGCCGGGGCCTGCAGCGTGTCCGGGAGCGCTGTCCCTAGCCTTTCCCAATACGCGTGGCGGCGGCGTTGCCGAAGCTCCCAGGCAGTCATCGCCACGGCGCTCGCAAGCTCCTACGCAGCGCTTGCGCGGTCCTCGCGCAGCGCCCCAGGCATCGCCCAACTCGCCGTTCCAGGCGTCTCCGACGACGTTTCGAGCGCCTAATGCTATCCGGGTTTTGGACATAGCAAGTTCTTCCAGGCTCCACGGGCAGATTTTCCTTGCGCGCTCTGCAGGGCCCCACGCATCGTAAACGGCGTCCCTGCAAGCGTCTCCTGCGAGGTTTCCAGCGTCCCGCGCATCGTTTCAGGCGGCCTTGCAGAGGTCCCTGTAACTCGTAGAGCTTCCCTTAGCTAGTTATAGCTGGAAGCTAAGAGTAATTCCGGCGCGCTGGAGAGCTAGTAACTCGTAGAGCTTCCCTTAGCAAGTTATTGCTGGAAGCTTAAGAGTAATACCTCGTAGAGCTCTTCGTCATCGATGAGCTAGAGGAATTCCGGCGCGGGGTGGAGCTAGTTCGCCGATCCGGCGGAGGCGGACAATGTGACAACTTTTGGGTGGTTTTGCGATTTTTTGAAAGATATTTGACCATTTATTTTGAGAAAGCAGATTTTTACGCCGAGCATTGGCATATAAACTCCTCTCCGGTAGCAGCTCAGCTCTCTCATTGCATTTTTACACGAGTTGACTTCCAGAATCTGAGCGAATATAAACATCCAAAAAATCGAATTTGAAGATTTCCCAAAAAAATCTATTTTTCCATTCAGTGTCGATTCTCTGCACTCTCACCAGTGAGAGGAGCTCTACGAGGTTCCCGGCGGTGACCAGGTTGACGGTTCACCGCCGGCGCCAGTTCCGGAGCGCTGGAGAGCTAGTTGGCAAGAAAAATCTCGACGGACCTTTTGCTGACTTTTGGTCGGTTGAACATTTTGTTCTCAAAATTTGACCATTCGTTAGCTCTAGTCTTTTTTCCCATGATATTCGATCTTATTCCTGCTCGCCATGTTGATCTCAGCTCGATCGGGTGACTTTGAAGGCCAAAAAGCACTGTGGCGGGAACGGCCGTTTCGAGTCATCTTGATACGCGCTGTCGGTATTTTGTACACAACTCGAGCTGTAGGGCAGCTACAGAGCTGGTAAGCACAGCTATCGCACTCAGAATTATCAGGCGCGTTCGCCTGTTGAACCCAGAGGTGTGAACTCGGTCTGCCAGCCGAGCTAGGTCCGCAAACCTATTCGCATTATTCGAGTCATTTTGATAGACACTCTCGGTTTTCTGTACTCAACTGGAGCTTTAGGGCAGCTACAGTGCTGGTAAGCACACCTATCGCACTTAGAATCATCACGCGCGTTCGCCTGTCGAATCCAGAGGTCTGAACTCGGTCTGCTAGCCGAGCTAGGTCCGCAAACCTATTCGCATTATTCGAGTTATCTTGATAGACGCTCTCGGTTTTATGTACTTAATTAACTCGAGCTGTAGGGCAGCTACGGGGCTCATTGTGACAGACATCGACGGGAAGTCATCAGTCGCGTTCGTCTACTGAACCAAGAGCTCTGAACTCGGCCTGCTGCCCGAGCTAGGTTCACGAAACTGTTCGTTTCGTCCGAATGATCTTGAGACGCGCTCTCAATTCCCTGCTCAACTCGTGCTGGGGGAGGGCTACAGTGCTGGAGGTCACAGATATCGATTTTGATACATCAGGCGCGTCTGTTTGTCGATTTCAGAGCTCGGAACTCGGTCTGCTGCTCGAACTTGGTTCGCAAAACTATTATATTATTCGAGTCGATACTGTCCGTTTTCTGCACTTAACTCGGGCTGTAGCGAGACTCCAGGGCTGGGAATCACATGAGTGGATTGGCAGACATCAGACGCGCCCGCCTGTCGCATTCAGAGGTCTGAACTCGGTTTGATACTGGGCGCCGGCGGTAAACCGTCAACCTTTCTTACCGCCGGGGGACTCGTAGAGCTTCCTGACAATATATACTTTGGAAAAAAAAAACCCTAAAGAACGACTATTTTTTAAGCCTAAGTGATTCCAGACCTCTCAAGATAACGCTAACAAAAAGCCAAACAGTTTCGCAACCGAGTTCGAGGATCAAAGCGAGTTCAGACCTCTGAATGCGACTGGCGGGCGCGTCTGATGTCTTGTGATTCCCAGCGAGGTCTGAACTCGGTTTGATACTCGAACTGGGTTGCGAAACTGTTTGTTTTTTAGCGTTATCTTGATAGGTCTGAAATCGCTTGGGCTTGAAAAATAGTCGTTCTTTCGAGTTTTTTCCCACAGTATATATTGTCAGGAAGCTCTACGAGTCCCCCGGCGGTAAGAAAGGTTGACGGTTTACCGCCGGCGCCCAGTTGGCAAGAAAAATCTCGACGGAACTTTTGGTGACTTTTGCTCGGTTGAAAATTTCGTTCTCGAAATTTGACAATTCGTTAGAGCTCTAGTATTTTTTCCCGTGATATTCGATCTTATTCCCGCTCGCCATCTTGATCTCAGCTCGATCGGGTAACTTGGAAGGCCAAAAAGCACTCTGGCGGGATCGGCCGTTTCGAGTCATCTTGATATGCGCTGACGGTTTTCTGAACATAACTCGAGCTCTAGGGCAGCTACAGAGCTGGTGAGCACAGCTAACGCATGCAGAATGATCAGGCGCGTTCGCCTGTTGAACCCAGAGGTCTGAGCTCGGTCTGTCAGCCGAGCTAGGTCCGCAAACCTGTTTGTATTATTCGAGTCATCTTGATACGCGTTGTCGGTATTTTGTACTTAACTCGAGCTGTAGGGCTGCTACAGAGCTGGTAAGCACACATATCGCATTCAGAATGAATAGACGCGTTCGCCTGTTGAATCGAAAGGTCTGAACTCGGTTTGTGAGCCGAGCTAGGTCCGCAAACTTATTCGAATTATTCGAGTCAACTTGATACGCGTTGTCGGTATTTTCTACTTAACTCGAGCTGTAGTGCAGCTACAGAGCTGGTAAGCACACCTACCGCACTCAGAATCATCAGGCGCGTTCGCCTGTTGAATCCAGAGCTCTGAACTCGGTCTGTTGCGCGATCCAGAATCACGAAACTGTTCGTATGGGCCAGGACCGAGCAAACATGGGTGAGGCGAGCCATGAAAAAATGACAAGAGATACCCACAAATGATCAACAAAAACTCGACAAAGCGTCCCCAGACCATATGTTTTCACTATTGTTGAATCTTCCTCCTGTAGAGGGACACGCCCGACGTAAGCCAAGGCTCTAGCTTCCCGGCGGCCGCTTCTTTCGGGGGCGCGCAAACATGGATCATTCGCGATCCATGGACTTTGGGCGCGCGGTCGCCAAACCCCTGGATCGGGGGAGGCACCCTCCCCAAAGATGCGGCCGGTGCCGCCTCGCTCGGCGGCGGAAGCCCGCGACTTCCCCAGGCGACGGGACCCGTCGCCATCTGCGCGCCCTTGACCCGTGCTTGCGTTATGTCGGGCCTGTCCCCCTACAGGGGGATTTTCGACGAAAAATGAAAAATACCCCAAAAAATGGTCAAACAATAATCCAAAAATAGTCTGGGGACTATTTCTCAGCATGTTTTGACCTTGTTGGGGTATTTGGTTCTCTTTATTTTTCGTCGAGAATCCCACCTGTAGGGGGACACGCCCGACGTAGTGCTTGCGATCGCCGGAGAGGGACCTCGAGGCGACCGGCGGCCACCGAGGAGGCCTGGGCCGACCCGGCCTCGAGAGCCTGCCCGTCCCCCTGCGATCGGAGCTCGCGCAGCCTCTTGTTCGGACGTGCAGCTGGGGGGCCCGGCCACAAGGGACCTGCCACGAGAGGCCCCACCCTAGGGAGCCCACAAAGGACGTACGCGCCCAGCTATGTACATGAACACGGGCCCTCCATCCGCGAGACTGGCCGCGTGATACGAACATTCGGGCAATGCGTACTTTCCAAACCAGCCTGGATTCATGTACGTGTACGTCCTTCTTTCGCTCCTGACACCCTGAGACCCCAGGACGTCGCCGTCGTTTTTTTTGGTAGGGGAACGGCAGGCTTTCCAGCCTCGAGACCCTCGAAGCCCAGGGAACCCAGGGCACGCTGGAGGCGAGCAGGGTGCTTCTTGGCATGGGCCTCCATGGTACCCCGGGGTGTCTGGTGTGGGCGACGATGGGGGCGACGATGGGGGCGAGTAGCCCAGGGGAGAGCAATACATGTATCTGGGGGCGCCGATGGTCCATGCCTTCGACGAGGCTCCTGGGCGAAAACGTGTAATGCCCGCCCCTGGGCCGTCGCAGCGGAGTTCTCCGGGACGGGGGGAGGTGCCAGCCGACAACCGGACCTGTCTGCTGGGCGGCTCCACGCGTGCCCCCACGCACCAGCACTGCTAGGGGGCCCCATGCGAACCCTGCCCCCACCCCCCACGACTTCTGAGGGGGACGGTGGGGTTCACTTCGTTCGGGAGGTCACGAGCGAAGCGAACCCCACCCTCCCCCTCAAAAATGGTGGGGGGTAGGGGTAGGGTTCGCATGTGGCCCCCTAACTGCGCACCCCCGCGGACCTGCGCAGCCGACAAGGTCAGGTTATCGGTGGGGGAGAAGGGGGGGGGGGGGGGGGGGGGCGGGCGGGCCCGCCAAAAAGCCCCCAAGAGCACAGTCTCCTCGCAAACCTGCGGCGATCACAGTCTTGGGGATCCCTGGCATCCTGGCCCCGCACGCATGCTTTCCACAACGGGCGGCGTTGCCTCATGTCGGGCGCCGGGGCCGTCACAGAGCTCGATCCGGCTCGGGAACTGCCGCAGGGAGGGGGTGTCCGGGACTGCGGTCATGATTTCCACGATGCTGCATTTGGTGTTGCGACGTCGGACCTCAGGTGCACGCACCGAGATCGGGCGGCGCCAGTATCTTTGGGACAGGGGCACACTTCGGGCTGCTAACGTGCGCGAAGGTCCCCGTGCGCGAAAAACATATCATGTCCTTATCGACGGCCTCGCGGGCCGGGGCTCCGTGCCGCGGCCCCGCGTGTACGGGGCGTTTTCTCGCGGATGCCCTGCACGGAACGTATCCGCGCGACCGCGCAACCGCAGGATCGCGCCCCAGAATCCAGACCGCGAGAGCGTGGACGTGGATACACTCGCCGCTCGTGGAATGTCGACGTCGAGCAAACCAGTGCAGACTTCCTCGGTCGCCCTGTCTTGGCAGGCGTTCCTCCTGCTCCTCCTCCTCCTCCTCCTCCTCCTCCTCCTCCTCCTCCTCCTCCTCCTCCTCCTCCTCCTCCTCCTCCTCCTCCTCCTCCTCCTCCTCCCCCTCCTCTCCCACCCTGGCCGCTGAGGTGTGTGCGAGAGAACGAGGTTGTTGCTGGAGTTCGGCGAGGAGCTAGCCACAGCGCCGAGGAGACGCGGGCGACGCATCCCCCCCGAACGCCTCAAACCCCTATCGTCTTGCCATCGCTCGGACGTCCGTTCCCCGTGCCTTTCTCGGCTTCGTGAGTGGTCATTCGGCTCAGTGATCATCAGCAGCAGCGGCATCACCCTCCTCCTCCTCCTCCTCCTCCTCCTCCTCCTCCTCCTCCCCGTCCTCCTCCTCATCTTTATCCTCCCCTGCCTGCTGCTCACCACATCCCTGCCATGTGACCGCCGACCGCTGCCAAACCGCCGACATCACCCGAACGAACTGCCGATCACCCGCCGCCGGGGCTCGCTTCGGGCAGTCGAACTCCCACTCCGGGCAGCGGCCCGACATCCTGCGGGCCCGGCGCCAGGGCCGCTTCCCCCCCAGGCGAGAGGCGAGCAACAAAAAGAACCTGGCCTTAAGCGAGACGACAGAACGACAGTACGCAGTGGCGCACGCGAGCCGCCGGCGTGGCACGCCCCACTGGGAGCGAGGGCGCTGACGCGCGGCCTTGCGCGGGCAACCTGCGGGCCTATGCTGGTGCAAACGGCCCCGTTTCGCTGCGTCGCTCAGGCGGCGTTCGGGCGTTACCGTTCACGCATTGCGCATCGCGCCCCGCGATGCGCGGTTATCTTCGCGCCCTCGCGAGACTACCTTGGAGAGAGGACGCTCTCGGGCCCAAGCCGCGGCAAGCGATGCCTCCGAGCCCCGGGACCTGGCCCGATCAAGTCACACACGGCCCGATTGCCGCGGCACGAACGTGATTCCTCCATTCCTCATTTCCGTCCGTCCTTCTCCTCCTCCTCTTCCTCCTCCTCCTCCTCCTCCTCCTCCTCCCTCCTCCTTCCCCTCCTCCTCCTCCTCCTCCTCCTCCTCCTCCTCCTCCTCCTCCTCCTCCTCGCTCCTCCTCCTCCTCCTCTCCTCCTCCTCCTCTCCTCCTCCTCCTCCTCCTCCTCCTCCTCCGCCTCCTACTCCTCCTCCTCCTCCTCTGCCTCCTCCTCATCCTCCTCCTCCTCCTCCTCCTCCTCTCCTCCTCCTCCTCCTCCTCCTCCTCCTCCCCCTCCTCCTCCTCCTCCTCCTCCTCCTCCTCCTCCTCCTCCTCCTCCTCCTCCTCCTCCTCCTCCTCCTCCTCCTCCGCTTCCTCCCCCCACTCCTAGCCCTTTCGATCGGGGCCGTTAGGCCTCTCCAATCCTCCGGGGCACGCCGTGGAGCCCCATGGGCAGCCAGGAGGCGGAGGAAGGCGGGGGCCACGGAGCCCGAGGGCCAACGCGAACCCGAGCGAGGCGACATCACACCACGGGTCCGCAGGCCCCGCCGTTGAGCAGGGGCCGACCGTCCCGGCATTCCTATAGTCATACCAAGAAGTGCTCTTAGAGCCCAAGAATGTTCTGAGAGCAACAACAATGTTCTTAGAACATAAACTCGATGTGTTAATACAAGACAGTCCCAGCCAGAAATGTTCTAAGAACATTCCGTGGGGACCACGGACGGTTCTTAGAACATTGCTTGGTAGGGCTGTAGGCGAGCCAGGACGCCTCGCCACTGCTTGACACCGTCACCACGACCCCACGAGGGCAGTCCACCTCCATCACGCGATGGCAACGCGCGGGGCGGTGGCAGGCCGGCCGCGGAGCTCGCCGCCCGGCGGCGGGGCACGAGGAGAGGGAGGAGGCCTCGGGGGCCTGACAGGGGGGCCCCCGGGGGGGGCACGAGGAGGGAGCGGGGAGGGGGGGGGGGCCGACGGAGGAACGTGGGCAGGGGCCGGGAGACCAAAAGGCTAGACGGGGGGGGGGGGGGGGCCACCACGCGGCCCGGAGGAGGGGCAGCGGGCCTCTCCGAGAGGCCTCCGGCGGTCGTGCCGCCGGTCGGCCACGAGGAGCCCCAGGGGCACTCATAGGCACATCCACAGCAACGAAGGTCGTTTTCACAGTGCGGCTCTCGCCTTCACGCCGCACGCATTCAGCTCCAAAAAGTCTGCAACAGCTTCAAGGATGGAGAGCGGTTCCTTGTCCAAAATCTTGTTTCAGCCTTCGCGCCACGCGCATTCGTCTTCAACGCCTGCAACAGTTTCAATGATCCGTAAAATTGGAGTCGCCGGAATGGCGTTCTGGTACAATTTACGACTGTCAAAACGCAGCGCTCAGGTTGACTCGAGGTGTTGAGGCCACAGAAAGGGTATTGCGGTACGATGTAGGACTGTCTCGACGCAACACTCACATTAATTCGCGGTGTCGAAGTCCCAAGAACAATATTTTGGCACGATTGAAGATTATCAGGCACATTGTATTTCAATGGGGCACTTCCCGCAATGAGAGCAACTTCTTTTTGAGACCTATGAAGAAGGAACTTGCACGGGGGGCAAATGCAACATCGTTGATGCGTCTTGAATTTACACTGGTCCTCCTCCTCCCCCACCTCCTCCGCCTCCTCCTCTCTTCACCCGTCGTCGTCATCGGCAGACGTCCTCCTCCCCGTCCACCCCGAGAGAGCCAGCTCCCACGACAGGGCCGATGTGGATCCCGATTTCTCCCACCATCCCAGGCAGTCGGTGGCAGGCCTATCAGACTAGACGAACCTGTATGGAACGATAAGGGAGGACGGGGCGGCGCATTTCGGGGGACTAATACTGACATGAACTAGTTTCCTGGAGGTCCGCTTGGATCGGGGCTGACCCCCCTGGCGGCGCCTCTGGCGCCGCCCCTGGCGCGCTCCGCACGACAGGGAGGAAGGCGCAGTGCCGATCCAAGAAATCCACACAGACCTCCGAAAGCTCTTGTCAGGCCATTCTGTGTTCCCCAAGGATTTGGGAGGGCGACGAAGGAGGGAACAAAAAACAGCAGGAGGGCGCGGCCGAGGAGTTCAGCGAGTTGACGCGTAGCAGATGATGATCAAGAAAGAACCTGCGATGGTGAAGAAAGAAGACCGCGAGCGGATAAGAAATAGCGGGTGCCTTCTGCTTACACACGCGAGGGTTGATTTCTTGAGCCCCAGCAGGGAAACGAATTCGGAAGCGCCAGGCCGGCGCTGTCCAGATGGTAGGCGTCCTCGCAACCTGCCAACGGCAGCCATCGGGAGCCTCCGGCGACGTCGCGGGGCGGAATTGGCAATCCTCCTCTGCACCGGTGCCCTCCTCCCCCAACCTCCTGGCGCAGCCAAGCATCACGGCGGGAACATGTTCTGCCGTTTTCCGCAAATTGGCCCTCACCCGGGATGGAAAATCGGTCCCGTGTGCAAGACCCATATTTCCAGGAGAACATGCTGAAAAAAACGACGTCGAAGGTCTGGGTCTTCCTCTCCTCGTCAGACTTACCATCCTCGTACTTGTCCTGCTCCTTTCCCTTGCTGCGGCTGCCCCTCATTTCTCTCCCCACTACACCCTCCGTCCCCCCCCCTTGACTCCCTCCACGTGCCCTCCTCACCGACCACCAGGCTGCAGCCTCATGTTTGTATGGCGACGTCACTGCTCGCCAACAGACGGGTGTCCAGCTTACCTGCAGTGCCCAACTGCCAGCGGCAAGATCCAGACCCGCACTGTTCTTGCCCTCGAGCTCCCCTCTTCCTCCTCCTCCTCCTCTCCTCCTCTCCTCCACCTCCTCTCCTCCTCCTCCTCCTCCTCCCTCCTCCTCCTCCTCCTCCTCCTCCTCCTCCTCCTCCTCCCCTCCTCCTCCTCCTCCTCCCTCAAGCAATTTGGGCGCAAGCAGGAGCAGGGGCCCAGCGGCCCTAGCTCCCCACGCGCACAATTCTCGGGGCTTCCTCGCAGCGCTTGAGGGACCCATTCCGAGGGCCAAGCCACAGCCCAAGGTTTGTGACCAACACCGAGACCAGAGTTCGCCATGTCGCAGTTGTGGACCAGATGTGATCAGTGCCGCCGATGCGAGTGGAACACCATCATTGTCAAGCAGGGGCACGTGTGCCCAGGGTGTGGGGCGGCGATCACGCTTTTCAAGCCAGCAGTACGTCGGGTACATTGGGAGGACGAAGTACGGCCCGACGCGACCCCGTCTCCCGCCGCTGCTCCTCAGCGGGGCCGCCAGCGCAGCCACTCTCCCAAAGGCTCATGGCGCGGCGGGACAGCCAAGGGATCGCCAGTGAAGACCTCGCCAGGCACCACCGTGACAGAGCTGCTCCAGCAGGCGGCCCAGGCCACCGAGGACGCCGTGCTGCAGGAGGCGCTCAAGAAGCAGATTGAGAAGATCAGCTCCCAGGCCAAGGCCGAGTCCGAGTCGTCGGTGTCCCCGTCCGAGGCGCTCCGCAAGGCCGACGGCGCGTGGAAGAACGCGGAGCACCACCACAACCAGTGCGTGGACAACGTGCTCCGCCTGAGGCAGAGCCTCGAGGCCGCCGAGGCCAAGGAGGGCAGGGCTGCCGTGGCCTTGGCGCAGGCGGCAGCGGCCAAGAAGGCTGCCGCCCACGCCGTCGCGAAGGCGGAGGGCGTGGGGCCGCCCTCAGAGGAGCAGCCCACGACAGCCATGTTCAAGGTCGAGTGGGACGAGGGCTTCTTCAATTCGTTGGACGAGATGGAATGCACGCCTGAGGAGCGCCGAGCGTTGGACACACTCCATGAGCAGCTCAAGGGCGTCAAGACGGACCTGACGGGCAAGGAAGCAGAGATCAAGGCCTGGCTCGACAATGCTAGGAAGATGCAGAATGACATCACCGACCGCCTCACGAAGAAGAAGAGGAAGAACGACGACGGGCAGGCCGCAGCGGCCGAGGAGGAGGCCAAGCCGGAGGGCGGGGCCAGCGCGCCGACGGACACGGCGCCCAAGGCCACGCCCCAGGAGGCAGAGGCCCCCCAGGCGACTGCGGAGAAGATCGAGTCAGAGGCCAAGAAGCTGTCGCAGGCCAAGTTCATCGCCAAGGCCGAGGCGGCAGCAGCCAAGGCCAAGGCCAAGGGGAAGGGCTCTGAGGCCGCTTCTTGACTATCGCGGGATCAGCGAGTACACACCGAGGGCACCACGACATTGTTCTATGCTAATGTCACCGCCTTCACTCCCAAGGTGTGGCAATACCTCCAATTAAATTATTGCAAGTACGAGTATTGGGCCTGGGCAGAGACTCACATTCACTCCGAGTCGGAGCTCAGAGAGTGGGACAAGAAGGCGAGGGGGGCTCACCTTCGGCTTCATCACAATGCGGCCCGCCCCTCATCCAGATCTGTGGCAGCGGAGCATGAGGAGCGGGCCAATGAGGGCGGCGAGTTTTTCATGGCCCAGCAGCACCTCCAGGCCCATGTCCTGCCAGAGGCCAAGGTTGCTGCTGGCCACCTGCGTGAGGCTGGTCAGACCAGTCTCGACGGATTTCTTCCAATGGTGCTGCACATGGCTGGGTACTCCATCGTCGTGGTGGTGTTTTATGCCCTGCCGTGCACCCAGATGAATGGCCACAATAAGGTCAGATTTCAAAGGCTCGGAGGTCTCTTGAGGGCCCTCAGGCTCCCATGGGTGGTCGTGGGCGACTTCAATATGGAGCCTGACACTTTGGCCGCCAGCCGTTTTGTTCAGAATGTGCAAGGGGTCATTCGTACGGCTGGCCCCGAGGGCACCTGCGCCAACCATCAGGGGCGCGACAGGGTGCTCGACTACGTTGTGTGTAGCCCTGAGGCCACGCCGTTTCTCAAAACCATCTGTGCTGTGCGTGCGGTCCCTTGGAAGCCTCATCAGGGTCTTGCTTTAGTGTTTAGGAGCTCTGGGCTCCAACTTCTCACCCGCTCCCTCGTGGTCTCCCCCAGGCTTCCTCAAGCCCCGAGGCCCAGCAAGGAGCCCACGTTAGGTTCTAAGTCGAGTGTGTCCAGGGCCCGCCAGGGACTTGCCCAACAGGAGGCCCTGGAGGCACGTAAAGCTAGGTTTACTGAGCTGTTTGGTGACTGTTTTCGAAGCCCTGGGGTCCCGTCGTCGTCGGAGGAGGGTGTTGGTCAAGCCCCTCCCGATGAGGCCGATGAATCTCATGATTGTTGGCCCGACGAAGAGGACGACCCGTGGGCTGACCAGCTCAATTTCTGTTCCGACAGGGAGTTGAGTAATGCCCTCAACACTCCCCGTCACCCCAACCTTCCCGACCCAAGCTCGGAGGGTAGTGGCAGTGCTGCTTCGAGTCAGGAGAAACAACATGCCTCTGGGCACGTACCAGTTCAGTGTAGTTCCCCTCCCAATTCGGGCCAGCCCCCCCCACTGAGTCCACAGGAAGATTTAAATCCCGATTTAATCCGGTCTGCTTTTCAGTTTTCGGGCCCTGAGCCCAGTCCGTTACAGACCCCTGAGTGCGACCCCTCGCTGACGGCTGCGTTTCAGATCCCCAGCGAGCTTTGGGTCGAGAGCAGACGTAAGGTCGGATTTGCCTCGGGGCAGGACTGTATTCATTCTCTTTCTCCGTCCCTCCTCAAGTCCGTAGCTTTTCGGCTCGAGGCCTCCCACTCTACTGTAGTCTCAGGTATGTATGCAGCTTGGATCTCCACAGTTGAGCTCAGCATCACCAGACACCATGGCCTGGACCTCCCTCGCACACGGCGTGCGCACGGCGCGAGGCTGGAGGAGGGCCCTGTCAGGCGAGCAGCTCACCGCAGACAGGTCCACCTACGGGACCAGCGGGCGCAGTGGTGGACGCAGGTTCACACCATCGTCGCGGCCGTCGCCCGCCATCGCACGCGCAGCAACGGCCACCAGCAGCTGGAGCTGTACCGGGTCGCGGCGCAGAAGGCGGCGGTGGATCGACCAGACGGAGCTCACACAGCGCTGCGTCAGGGTCTCGACCCCCCGTGGCACGAGTGGATCAGGATCCTTGAGAACAAATGTCAGATCAACCCCGCTGTGCTGGACTCCTACGTTCACGCAGCAAAGAAGGTCATGCAGCGAGCGCAGAGGCTGGCCGTTTTGGCGGCCATCCAGGACTTCCGCGCGTGGGTGGTGGAGCCCGAGGCTAATGGCATTCTCCACAAGTCTCTGAAGAAGGGGCCTCTCCCGCCTGTGGAGATCGTGGTCGGCCAGCAGCTGATCTACCACCCCAAGGACCTCATGGACGCGAAGGCCAAGAAGTACCAGCAGCTCTGGGCCCCCTCGGCACCCAAGTTGCAGGATGTGCGTGAACTCTTCAGGCAGATCAGGCTCCGTGCCAGCGACGACCCCCTGCCGCCGCTGCACGTCGCCGACATCGGCAAGGCGGCCTCACGTATGAAGGCCAAGGCGGGCATGGGCATCGACATGGTCACCCCCGTCGACTACCAGAGGCTTCCCATGGAGGGCCAGGCGGAGCTGCTCCTCATCCTGGAGGCTGTGGAAGCCACGCTGGCGTGGCCAGCACAGACGTTGGCCGTCATAGGGAAACTCACTCCCAAGAAGACGGCAGGCGACCGAGCCATCGGGCTTGTATCGATGCTTGGACGGCTGTGGTCTCTCATGCGTGAACCCACAGTTCAGACCTGGTCGGTCGAGAGTGCTCGCCACTGGGACGCCGCCCTGCCAGGCAACTCCTGCCTGCAGGAGGCTTTCCTGAGGGCGCTGGACGAGGAGCTGGCCCACGCCATGGGCATCAAGTACGGCCACGGGATGCTCGACATCGCCACGTTCTACGACAGCATCCCGTGGGACATTCTAGTCGCCGCAGCATTGCGGCTAAATTTTCCTCCTGTTATCCTATACTTGGAATTGCTACAGTGCGCTGCTCCCCGTTGCCTGGAGCAGGACAGTGCTGTGTCCGAGATGTTCGACCCGCAGCTCAGCGTAGTGCAGGGGCTCCGATCGGGGACCCGCTTCGCCAAGATGATGACCCACCACGTCATGGTCACGGTCACCACAGCCCATCCGAGGATGGGGGCGAGGTTATGGGTGGACGATGTCTCGGAGACATTCAAGGGCTCCAGCAAGGCGGTGCGCCAGGAGCTCGCCAGTGGCATCATCACCACGTGCCGTGAGCTGCAGGCGAGGAAGCTCAAGGTTGCCGACAAATCGGTCGTCGTCTGCAGCCTCATGAGTGACGCGCGGGCGGTCGCCCGCTTGGTCCGACGAGCTGGATTTACGATTCGGCCAGTGTCCCAAGCCACCTACCTCGGCATCGACTTCGGATGCGGCAGGAGGGTGAGGGCCACCAGGGTGCTGCGTGAAGCGAAACATCGCCTCATGAGCATCAAGATCCGCAGGTTCACCAGAGCCACCCGCCAGTACAGCGCCATGTCCAAGCTCCAGCGCCAGGGAGGGCTCCCTGCAGGCGTCTACGGCCATCAGGTCCATGGGCTCTTCGGCGAGCAGCTGACCAGGTGCAGGCGGCGCTTGGCTCAGACGTGCGCCTCATCGGCACGCGGCCGATGCCTCACCACGGTCCTGGCGCTGCGGGCCCCTGGCGCTGACCCAGCAGTACTATACCCTGTGCAGACGGTGGACACTTGGCTCAAGATCTGGAGGGATTGCCCAGGTATCAGAGCGGGTGTTCGCAAGGCGTGGCCGATCATTTCAAAGCAGTTGCAGGCCATACCCGTCCCAGCACAGGTACGACAGATCAGAGGCCCAACGGGGGCCATCATACACACGCTGCTCAGGCTTGGCTGGACTCCACACGACCCGTCCACGTGGTCCTACCAGACAGGCCCCGACAGCAGTGAGGAGTGGCAGTTCCCAGATAGCATCTACACAGGCAACGCGCATGTGGATAGACATGATCACTTGCTGGCGGATGTACGCAAGTTCTGTGAAGCCCAGCTCTGGGCCCAGGCAGCACGTCACTTCTGCGGCGGGGGCCTGGAGATGGGCGTCGACAACACCTCCTACATCCAGCTACTCAAGCACCTGGCGCAGGCCCCCAACGGCAGAAGGCTGTGTGAGATCATGGTCCTTGTGGCCTCAGGGGGCATCTGGAACAACGAGCGCAAGAAGCAGGAGCTCAAGAACTACATGGGCACAGACAAGTGCGACCGCTGCGACACCGAGGTGGACACCCCGCTGCACAGGTACTGGCAGTGCTCGTGCAATGTGGACGCCAAGCCGTACACCGACTCCGATGACCTGTGCACTCAGGCCGTCACGCAGTGCAACACCGCCGAGGCCTTCTGGCTTCGAGGACTTCTACCTGCCCCGTGGACGGAAGTGAGCCCACCGCCTGCAGACGACGCCTGGCAGTTCACTGGCTTCCCGCACCTAGAGCCAGGACTGTTTGGCCCAGGGTCGCCGTCCGACCCCGTGCTGATCTTTGGCGACGCGAGCGGAGGGCCCGACAGCCGCAGTCCGAGGCTTCGGCGTGTGGGGCTGGCCATCACGTGTTTTGCCAGCCTGCAGCCCACCATCGTTCCGCGTGGCTCGATCTTTGGGCCACTTAGCGGTGCGAGGCAGGTCGTTGCTAGGGGCGAGCTGAAGTGTTTATTTCTGGCCCTCTGGGCCACAACGCAGTTTCTCACCTTTGTCACTGATTTTGCGGATGTTGTCACGGGCTGGTACGAACAACGGTTTCGCCAGCCAAGGGGTTCTGACGCCGACCTGTGGGCAGCCATCGGCGACCTCATGGCCCACAGACCGTTTCATCATGTGTCAGTCCTCTTCACACACTCTCATTTGACGGCCACACAGGTGGCCGACGGTCAAGGATTAAGTACGTTGGTGCTCGGCAACGCTGTCGTGGACGAGCTTGCGGGCCTGGCCGCCGCCCAGGCCCGAGTGCCCGAGGAACAGCGGTACCGTCTGTTGCTGCACGAGCGGCGCGCACGTTTGGTGCGCCTCCGCCTCCTTCGTGCTACTGTTGATGCTCTGGCTAAAGAAAAACAGCTGGAGCGGAGTGGGGAGAGAAAAAGGCGTGGAGGCCCTCCGCCTCCCCCCCCCCCGCCTCCCCCCTCTGCTGCTGCTGTTGCTGCCCTCTTGTCTCGCCATCGGCTGTCCGATTGCCGAAAAAGATGCCTGAGATGTCACGGCTCAGCGTCCGTGGACACTTTAAAGGAATGGCACGCCTCGGAGTGCCACAGCTTAGTGAATGTGAATGGTCTGATATACTCGCCTCCAGTCGGAGGCAGGATCCACGTCGGGGGGGGCTGGCTGCATCCCTCTCACCACCTCAACGTGCACGCCTCCCTGAATTGTTGGTTCTGTGGGAAGTGCGGGGCCATTGCTGACAAGCAAGTCCGTTCGCTTGCTAAGCCTTGTACCAACAGGTTGTCAGCCACTGGCCGTGAGTACCTCAGAAGAATTCGTCAAGGGCTCCCCCCTAAGGTCCTCAGCAAGGCCGAAATGGCCCAGCGAGGCCGTGGGTAGCATTGCATGGATTGGCATCGCCAGTGGTTCCTATTCCTATTCCTATTACTCCTCCTCCTCCTCCTCCTCCTCCTCCTCCTCCTCCTCCTCCTCCTCATCCTCCACGTCCTGGCGCGCACTCCACACCCGAAGATGCGCATATGAAACGGAGGGACGACGTGCGCGCTGCAAAACTGGACTTCTGCTCCCTGCCCCTGGCCCAGCTCGTCTGGCCAGGGGCAGGTGAGCACCAACGCACGCCTGGACCTGTGAGCACCAACGCACCAGACCTCACCAGACCACGGGAAGGGAATGGAACGGGGTAACATGCGTTGCGCCCAAGGGGGGGAAGCCATGTCGCACACTGAAGAAAAAAACCTGGCAAATGTTGTTCCGATGCTGTTGTGGGTGGCATGCAGGTTCGTGTCGTGTCGACCACGGCACTGGTTCCTGATACCACGTGGCTCGTTCAACCTTGACCGATCGGCCGTTTCCGAAACGTCAGATCGTTCAAACCATCGACCAATTCTGGGTCGCCGCCAGCAGTCAACGTTGAACGCCGGCGGCGGGGTCGCCGCCAGTCGACACGACGCGAACCTACCGTAGCCTCCGACGTACGCTGCCGCGATATCGCAGAAGGCAGCGGCGTGAGCCTCCCAGTGGACATTCGCGAAGACGTCCTGCGGGAGGCTGGCGGCTGGGGGGGGGGGGGCAGGCGGGCAGCGCGCAGAGGCTGGAAGGAAGAGGGAAGAGGGCGGGAAGGGGTAAGGGGACAGGACAAGTGAGAAGGTGGAGGGAGAGGAGGCGAGAGAGAGAGAGAACGAGGGAGAGAGAGAGGCAACGAGAGAGAGAGGTATGGAGAGAGACAGAGAGAGTGAGAAGGATAATAACAAGAAGAATGCGAATAATATTAATCATAATAATAAACATGATAATAAGAAGATTAAGCAGAACAAGAAGAAGCGGCACGGGGTGGGGGGGTGGGGGAGGGGGATAGCGGGGGAGATTGGGTCGCGCCATACATCCGAATTCCCCCTCCCACAACCCATACCTTACCGTTGTGCCGGCTGCTCTCCATCAGCCGACGCGTGTCCTAGCGGACCTGGACCTCCAAGAGAAGAGCCCATCGTGTTGTGCCTGATCGGAGAAGAGGAGCTGCGCACATGGGAGGAGGAGCAAGCAGGGCGAGCAGAATGCAAAGGAGGAGGAGGAGGACCAAGCAAGGCAAGAGGACGAGGACGAACCGCAGCAGCAGGGAACTAGAGCGAAGGGCGGAAGGGGCAGGGGGGAGAGATGAATGGGCGGCAGGTTTGGAGGACGGGAATGAGCAGAGGAACGAAAAACGGCATAAACAAAAACTGTCGGCGGTCAGCGCGGATTTCTCGGATCTGGGCCAGAAACCCCTCCCTGGCGCACGGAGCGCGCAAGGGGCGGCGCCGGAGGCGCCGCCAAGGAGGGCCCAGCGCGGATCCAGGAAATCCGCGCGGAGCATCGAAAGTGTATACTTGTGCCGCTTTGGGTTCTTCGAGTGAGGAGGCCGCCTCCTCAGTGACTCCTCGGAAAGGCCGTGCCCCTCCCCCCCCCCCCCGAGTCGGGCGTTGGCGCGGGACTGAGCTTAGTGGGGCCTGGCTCCATGATGTGTACCGGGGGACGCCCCCGGGCCCATTTCCACTAACCAGAGCTGCCGTCGCACGACGAACAAAAACCAGCTACGGTCGGACCAAGGCCAGGAGAACATCCTTCGAGAACATGAGACCCTCCGCCAGCCAAAACACACAGACCAAGGTTGCGGAGTTCAGGTTGTACGACACCTCGAGCGTGCAGAGGGGCGCAAGTGGGGTCACGCGAAGCGTCTAGAGATATGCTCCAAGACTGCTGGGCGCACCCAGGCCTGGAGATCGCATTCGCACGCGGATGCTCACGCTCGCGCGCAGGCGCGTCCGCCACACCGAAGAAGCCGTCGATGTGGCTCAGCTCCGCCTGAGCTCGGGAGGAGGCTCCTCCATTCTGCTCCTCGTCCTCATACTCCCCCTCCGTCCTCCTCCCCCTCCTCATCTGTTCTCCTTCTCCTCCTTCTCATCCGCATCCGTTCTCCTCCTCCTGCCCACCACTTGTTGTTGCTATGTATATAAATATATGTGTATATATATATATAAATAGATTCCCGAATCAGCGCTTGCACTGAAGGGGTCCCAGCGGAGGTTGAAGGATTTGACGAAAACGTCCCGCCAATGTTGGTCGCACGCTGGGCTCCCAGGTTCCCAGTTCCGGGTTCCCGGGTTCCCAGTGCCGGGTTCTGGGTCAATTTCGGTGGGCGGCGAGGTTCCCAGGTTCCTGGGTTCCTGAGGTGGTCGATCTTCTTATCGATCGGTCTCACCATCAATCTCATTTCCCGCCTCTCTATCGATCTCACCATCGGTCTCACAATCGATCTCACTATCGATCTCACAAGCAATCTCACTAGAGATCGCACAAGCGATCTCCCTATCGATCTCATTGAATCGATGTCACTCTCGGTCTCACGATCGACCGTACAATCGTCCTCGGTCGATTCCTTCATCGATCTCATTACCGATCTCACAATTGATCTCAAGATCCATATGACTAATTTTCAAATCATCCACTGAGTGGGCTTTCTCTTATATGTAGATGTGTATATATACATATGTATAAATATATGTATTTGTCCACGTGCCGGATCTGGCGCTGCGCCGGTGGACAATGGCCTCCTGCAACGGCCAACCTTGGAGGACGCCTCCGAGAGGACTTGGCGCTCCGCGCGGACTTCTTGGAACTGCGCTGAGCCCCCCTCCCTGGCGCGCGGAGCGCGCCAGAGGCTGCGCCAGAGGCTGCGCTGGAGGCGCCACCAGGGGGGGCCCAGCGCGGATACAAGAAATCCGCGCGGAGCATTGAAAGTTTATGTTTACGCAGTTTTTCTTCGTCGAGAAAGGGGGGAAATGACCCGAAAGATCATATGTTTCTTCTTCTTCGTCTTCCTCCTCCTCCTGCTGTTTCTTATCATCATTAATACTGTGTTATTATTATTATTAGCATTCGTATTATTATTATTATGATGATTATTATTATTATTATTATTAGCATTGTTACTATTATGATGATGATTATTAGTATTCATAGTATTGTTATTATTAGTATTATTAGTATTATTAGTAGTATTCTTAGTAGTAGTATGAATTGTTATCATCATTATTACTATTAGTATTAGTAGTATTATTATTACGAGTATGATTATTAACCTCATGCCCGTGAGAATGAACACTAGGGGATAATAAAGTTCGGGGTTCAGGGAGAGATAATAAAAGTAGCCCAGCAGACCTCAGCATAATCTCGAAGTAAGAGATGATCAAGAGGAGACCAAGCCGAACACGTTTTGAGACATCCTTGGCGTTTAGTTTTCATAGAAATATCTTCAACAATGGCATAAGAAAGAAGAAGAAGAGGAGAATAAGAAGTGGACGAAGAAAGAAAAAATCCAAAGTTCAAAATCTATCAACTTGAATTTACAAACGCTTTATGAACATTGTTTTTTTTAAGTGCTCGTGTAGGGTAGCTCATGTGCTTCATTTTCCATGGATAATCAACCCCAGGGATAAAAAAGTTCAGGCGAGCGTGAGGACAGATAGAAATATAAAATAAGAAGAGGAAACTATAAGAATAATAAGAAGAGAATAATAATAAGAAGAAGAAGAAAAGAAGAACGGAAAAATGGAAAGTTCCAAATCTATCAATTTTAATTTACAAACGCTTTATGAACATTGATTTGTTTAAGTGCTCATGTAGGGTAGCTCATGTGCTCCCCTTTCCATGGATAATCAACCCCAGAGATAAAAAAGTTCAGGCGCGCGCGGGGATAGATACATATATAAAAAGGAAGATAATAAAAAATATAAATAAAAAGAACAAACTTGCTGGTTTAGCTTGAAACATCCTTGAGACATCCTTGAAACATTGCTCGTTTCGTTTGAGTCTGCCTCCCAAAATTTTTGGCTTCGCTTGACACATCCTGAAAAAGTGTGATCGCTTCGCTTGATGTTGCTATATCAACATCGCTTGATGTTGTTATCTCAACATAGCGTTTCGAGGTGATAATGAAGTTCGGCCTCAGCGCTCGCCGCCCAATTTGAATTTTGTATAGGGCGACGATAATCAACTCTAAACACTGAAGGAGGGGTCCCTTTATTATCATCGGCATGCGGTTAGTATTATTATTGTAAGTATTATTATTAGTATTAGTACTATTATTATCATTATTATTACTACTACTACTACTACTACTACTACTACTACTACTACTACTATTATGAATACGATTATGAGTATGGTTATTATTATTATTATTTTTCCCCCTCCTCCTCCTCTCTCTCCTCCTCCTCATCCTCCTCCTCCTCCTCCTCCGAAAGAGGCACGATGTCGGAGGCATGGGCCCCGGCTCGACGGGGCCGTGCGGTGGCGAGCCGCGCGGGGTGGAAGGCCTCCTGTGGGGACCTCGCGAGGTCGCCGCGCGGCCCGTCACAACACAGAGGGGGCGGGGGGGGGAGCCCCGGGCGGAGGGGTGGAGAGGAGGAGGAGGCGGAGGGAAGGTGGCGAGGGAGAAGAGGGGGGGAGGAGGGCGGAGGAGGAAGCGGGGAGCGGAGGGCGGAGGAGGAGGAGCGGAGAGGGGGGGGGAAGAGGCAGGGGATACAGGAGGAGGAAGAGGACGTGAATGAGAGAGCGGGGCCTCGGCCCAACATGTTGTGTGTGTGTCGGTCTGCTCCGCCCAAGGGGGCCCGACAGGGCCTCCCCGGGGGAAGCGGCAGCGTTCGGAGAACTCCACTGCCGTCATTGCCGCATTGCCTGACGTGGAGGAGGACGGGGCGGCGGAGGAGGAGGGGGACGAGGCGGGGGAGAAGGGAGTAATGAGAAGGAGAGCCGATGGAGACGACGAGGAGGAGGACAGTGCGAGAGGAGGAGGAGGAGGAGGAGGAGCACGGAAGCGCTCACGGGTAGCTGGAAGAGGGGGAGAGAGGAGGAGAGGTGAGGAGTCCTCCTAGCCCTTGTCGTTCTCGTCCAGCGAACCGCCCCAGTCCCAGGCAGCAAGAATAGATCGCGACGGCCCAGACCAAGGCAGCAAACGCAAGAGCGATGGAGCAATCACTACATGGCCTGAGTGGAGAAGCAGCCCCCAGCCTTCACAACGCGGATAATGATGTCCACGCAAGGCTCGTCCTTGACAGCCTGTTCGCCCACCATTGGAATTCGCAGCGGACGCCTTAAACTGGCCGACCGTACAGCGGGAGCCCACCTCTGCAACCTGCTAACAGAGGGGCACGCATTGACCGGAATCTCTCCCCGACCCATTCTTCAACACCGGCACTAAGAGCTGCAGGGGAAAGCAGGGAGGAGGAGGAAAGAGAAAGTGAGGGCAGGCGAGAGAGGCGAGAGAGGCGAGAAGGGGGAGACAGGATAAAGGAGGAGGAAACAGGATGCCTGCACGTTTCCTTTGTTCGGCGCCGTCTGGAAGACAACTCAAGGCCCCTTGGAGGGGCATGTTGTGGCGGCATGCAGATCCCACCTGCCCTCTGGGCGCAGGTGGTTTCAAGAATTATGTACGCATTCCAATCCGCTGAGCCTTTGTGGGTCTCTAGGCGTGTGAGGCGGCTCCCCCCCATAATTCCCCCCCCAGGGAACCCAAAACCAAGAATTCGACCCCCGCCCTCGCCTGCTCCGAACGCGCCATGGGAGAGCAAAGGGCCCCCAAACGGAGTGCGCAAATGGCACCGAAATGGGTCAACAGGGCTCCCAACTTATCCCAGCAAAGCAACCGAACAGCCATGTGTATGAGCATATATGGAAGCATTCCTCTTTAGATTCATGTTCGGATTTGACTGGAAGCGAGACGCTGCGATCAATAGTGGACGCGTCTGCAAAGGAGGCACTACTATCAACGAGACAGCATATTATTTTTGTGCTCGTTCCAAACGAGACGCTGCTATGCAAGGGTGTAGGTGGTCCCCGCGGCACGACAGCGACGGTAAAAGGACAAATTCGGTGACGCTGGAGCCCCTAATGCGACGAGGAAGCTACAGATGCATCTTCTGCGACACTGGAGCTCCACAGGACAAGTCAGCTCAGCCTGCCTCGGCCTCAGCCTGCATCAGCCTCAGTCTCAGCCTCACCCTGCGTCAGTCTCAGCCTGCTGCGCTCCCGCATACCCTTTCGGCCTCAGCCTGCCTCAGCCTCAGCCTGCATCAGCCTCAGCCTCAGCCTCAGCCTGCCTCAGCCTCAGCCTGCTGCGCTCCCGCATACTCCTGCGGCCTCAGCCTGCATCAGCCTCAGCCACCCACGGAACTCACCTCCGATGGCGCCGAGGTGGCTCCCGTGCGTACCTGCGCGCACGGAACGCTTCTCCGATGGCGCCGATGTGGTTCCCGTGCGTACCTGCACGCACGGAACGCACCTCCGATGGCGCCGAGGTGGCTCCCGTGCGTACCTGCACGCACGGAACGCACCTCCGATGGCGCCGAGGTGGCTCCCGTGCGTGCCTGCACGCACGGAACGCACCTCCGATGGCGCCGAGGTGGCTCCCGTGCGTACCTGCACGCACGGAATGAGTTCCGCCGGATTTTCCCGGTTTCTGCCGGCTTCCGCCCGGACCCCCCTGGAGTGTCATGATGCTCTCTTTTGACCCTACTAGAAACCTATCAGCACAAGCTGTTAGGTAAAAGCCCCAGAAAGACGGCCCAAGAGGGCCGGCCACGAGTCGCCGAAATAACGGTCCAAGACGCCCAGTATGGTTTCCAAGCGGCCCCAGAGATCCCCCAGACAACCCGAGAGGCTTTCAAGATGCGTCCCAATAGCGCCCCAAGAAACAAAAATCGTTTCATTCCCGTCGGGAAAACGTAGATGTTTAGTCTGTTCGCATTTTCGGTTGTGACAGCGCCCAAAACACTTTCAAAATGGCCCCAAGACAGCCCAAGGGGCCCCCCAAAAAGGACCAAGATAGCCCCAAAACGGCTCGGGAAGCCCCCAAGACAGCCAAAAAGAGCCCCAGGACGGCCCCAAGAAGGAGACCGCAGGGGGACTGTTCGAGCAGTCGGCCCCAAAACGCCCCCAAACTGCCCCAAAAATTCCCCAGGGGCCCCCCAAAGCCCCCAATGGACCGCGAGAGGATCCTGCAAGGCCCCCAAGATGTCTGAAACCTGCCTCCAAAGACGCCCCCGAGAAGCCTCCCACGAGACCCTATCAGCCTCCTTATGGCCTCAGGCCAGCAACCCCGGTGAAGACGATGACACAGAGGAGTAATCCAGAAGCCGCATTAAAGTGATCATTTGTTTTTTGGCCCCCCCTCTGTCACAGAGGGGGTCAAATATGCCCCCCCTCTGTCACAGAGGGGGTCTGAGATGCCCCCCCCTCTGTCACGGAGGACCTCGTTCTGGGTGCTCTTCTGCCACGGGAGCTCCCGATACGATTGGAGACGATAAAATGTGATAGCGGGATGGGGGATTGGAGGGGGAGGGAGAAGAAAACGATGAAGGAGAGGAGGCAACGACAGCACCGATGAAAGCACCGTTTCTTTTTCCTTCTCCGCTCGGGCAGCGGTCGCCGAGCACGACGGCGCGCGCGAGTCGCCGCCGCTCACGATGCATTGGCAAGGCCTCCGCTGCTGCGGAGGGTCGACGTTCGGCCGATGAGGCCTCCCTCCGCTGCTGCGGAGGGGCGGCTCCTGTGCGATGGTTCAGCTAAGTTTTTCCCAGGGATTGGTTTCGGGGGGGGGTTCGACCCACCTCCAAGTCGTGGTCGCGACCTCCCAGTGCCCCTGGCCGCTACTCCACCCACTGTGGCTGCTCCACCAGTCACTGGGGCGTTGGTCGCTGCCGAATGCAACTTGCATGTCGCGCCAGGCGGAGTCGACCATGCGGTCCTGCAGCGAGGAAGCCTCGCCGCTCGGCTGTTGCCACTCGCGCTCCTCGCCCTCCTTGGTGCGCCACCACTCATCCCTGCGCCACTCCTCGTCTGTTGGTTGCTGCCGTGGCGTTTGTGGCCTCCGCTGCTGCGGGGGCTCTGGCGGCTGATGCCGCGGCGCCTCCCGCGGCTGCTGCTCCTGCAACCCTTGCCCTCGCTGCTCCAGCGGCGCAGGCCCAGGAGATGGCCACTGCGGGGCCGGCTGCCACCTTGGGGGTGATAAGTAACTATTTCTATCATTATCCCCTTCCTGTCCACTCCCGCCCCTTCCCGACACTCATTTCCTTATGTCATCCCTCGTCCTGCTCAGCCTCTTCCTCATTCCCTCTCCTCCCTCCTGCCATCCCCGTGCCCCACCCTCCCTCTCCCCCCCTCCCCCTTTCAAACCCCCGCCGCGACCTTCCATCGCCAGCCGCGGGCCAGTCGCGGCCGTCGTCCGCGTTTCCGTCTGCCCATCTTGGCGGGCGCCACGCCTGTTGGGCGCGCTCGTCTTGCTCGCCCCTCTCGCGGTGCTGCTCTGGTGCCTGGCGCTCGGGCCCGTGCTGCTCGGGCGCCACTGCTGCGGCGCCCTGGAGCGCAGCTGCTTGCTGTTTCTGGGCGCGCCTGTCCTTCTTCTCTCTGTTTCTCTCCTGCTTCCTCCCCTGCGAACGCGAGCTGGCCATGCGCATTTGGAACAGGAGAGGGTAGTGGGCGCCGCCGTGCCAGCGCCCCTCCACCTCCACGGTCTCCGGCGGGAACGTCTTCTGCAACGCGCGGAAGAGGGTCACCTCGCGATTATTAGAGAAGCGGTGGTCCCCTCTAGCCTCAGCCTCGGCGCGCCTCAGTTTCTCACGCTCCTTCTCTTGGATCTTGCGTTGGCATTCCTCTGACTGAGTCAGTAAATCCTGGAGGTGCTCGCGGGCGTCTTTTTTCGGGTAGTAGCGATCGTAAGGCATCCCAGGGCCTCCTTCCTGGCAGTGGTGCCAGTACGTCGGCTCCGATGATGGGCTGGTGGAGGCCCCCGCTGCTGCGGGGGCCTCTGCCTTGCTTCTGTTGCGGTACCCGATCTCACCGATCACCGACTTGCGCGCGAAGAGCAACCCCGCCTCGTCTCTGTCGTGCACGGCGCTCAGCGGCCAGCGCAGGGTGTACTCGCCAGGCCTGTTGAGAACGAAGATGCCGCAGCTGTCCAAGCACGGAGCGCCGTCCAATCCGCGCCAGAAGTACGCTGCTGCCGTCTCCAATCGCAAGCCTAGACCCCGAAGATTCGGCAGCGTCTGTGTGAGCGCCATGTTGAAATCCCCACAAGGGATGTCAACGTTGTTCTCCTGCAAGATGGCCGCCAGCCTCCGCCACCACGTCTTGTGCGCCTCCTTAAAGCCTTTGGAAGCTTTCGCCGTGTCGCGGTGGAGGTGCACCGCGCACACCCGCACTTTCGAGCCGAAGTGGGCGTAGGTTTGATCGAAGTAGACCTCAACCGCCATGATCCTCGAGAACGCTTCCATCTTGTTCCCTTTTGCAGTGGCCGTCGACACTCCTTTCCCAGTGGAGCAGCCGCATTCCGTGGCACAGATTTGCGCGCGCAGCGATGCACAAGGACTTGTCCTCACGCCCGCGCAGGGTCAAGTATTCGTGCTCTGGTCGATTCTGGAGCTGTTGGCAATCGCCAACACTCGCAGCACGACTTCCTCTTGCTGTCGCCATCGCTGCTGCGGGGGCGACAAAAGGCCCACCGCTGCTGCTGCTTTGGCCCTCCGCTGCTGACGCCCCCGCTGCTGCGGGGGCGTCCGCCTGCAGCGGCGGTGGTTTCCCTGGCCGCTGTAGGATTGCCTCCATCTGCTCCTCACATTCCGCAAAGCACGCCACGAGAGCAGGGCAATGCCGCAGCTGCAACTCAAGTCTCCGCCGCTGGTCCGCGTGGTTGGTCTCGCTCGGCATGGGGCCCCAGTTCCCGAACAGGACGGAAAGGTTGCCCACGTTGTCGTTCCGCTGCCTGTTCACGTCAGCCGCTCTACTTTCGCAGAAGAACTGGAGCGGGACGGCGTCGCGCAGAACGCACTTGCGCCGCTCGACGTCGTCGGGCGGCGCGCGGCCCCCAAAGGCCGGCTGATCGCGCCGCTCTTCCTGAGGCTCTTCGTCATCGCTCGGATCCACCGCCGAGTCGCCTGGGCGGGTGCGCATCGTAGAAACTTCTGATCGCGCCGCCGCTGCTGAGCTTGAAACGCCAGGCGGCGCAGCCCCCGCTGCTGCGGGGGCGCCCTCTGTCACACGGGCCCAAGGACCCTTCCAGGGTTCTGCCTGACCACCCGCAGGTCGCCAAACCTTCCCAGACTTCGCTGTATGTACTGCCGACAGTCGGCCCCGAGGCCCCGCTGCTGCGGGGCCCAATGAGCTGCTGCTGCTGCTGCTGGCCGCGG